TGCGTCTCCTCGCCGGCCTGAGTTTCAATGATACCACAATGTGTTGCGAGTCGTTGACATTCTCCGGTGGCCACTACTTTCGTGTGTCTGTTGTGTGTGTGTACACCAGGGCGTACTTTATGGGTGATGTGTCGGTGGACGAGGTCTTCGAGACCTACTCCCAGGCGGTACGACTGTCCTCTCACCACCACCACCACCACCACCACCACCACACACTCCCCTCTTGCCTAGCGCGCGCTGACTTCAGAATCGTTCGCACACCAACGCATTGGTTCAGATGCGTATGTTGGTGGACTACTACTACACGGCCACGCTCCCCGGCACCGACATCCCGCTCTCTCGACTTCCGCTCATCGTCAACACGCACGGCTGGCTGAAAGGTTCATTGCGTGGCATAACGCGCCACAAAACGTGTCGCCCCTTTGCTGGGCCGAAACTCACCGTGCGGCGGTTGGTTGGTTGTTGTGGTTAGGTCTGGGCTTCGAGGTCCTGCGCAACCTCATCAGCTACCTGGGTCCCCGACGTCGCCGTCCATCTCTACCCCGTCACACTCGAATACGCCACACGTACGCAACGGGCCTTGTCCCCCCCCCCACGCGTGCCGTGCGTGTCGTGTTGTGTCGCGTGCGACTCACTTGGGTGTGTGTGGCTGCGGTGGCGGTGGCGGTGGCGCAGAGGGTCCCGACTTTCCGTTCGTGGAGGAAGAGGTGGGCTACCGCTTCCGCGCGGTCCACCTTCTCCCCGCTGTCGCCCCCAAGCGGCCCAGGGTGCTCCTCGGTCCCGACGACCTGCGGCGACTGCGATTAGACGCCTACTTTGACTGCTGGAGCGAGGGCAGCCTGGTCACCCAGATCCCCTATCGCGGTACGCCTCCATTCAGCGTCCACACATGTGGTCGGGGTCGCGTGCCAACCGATTGTTTGTTGTGGTGGTGGTGGTGTAGTGCCCTGGAACGCGATCCGGTTGGCGCTTGCGGATGCCGACGTGCCGCCGTCGGAGTGTCTTCTGGCCTTCAACGCTTCGCTGGTCGGTCTCTGCATCGACACGGCCGACTACCTCTCGTGTGCTCCTCCGGTATTTTCGTCTCACAGCCACACACACCATGATCGTCACGTTGCTAAGAAACTACTGCTGTAATTCATATGAATGCACGCAGGGCCAAGCCGATCTCAGCCGCGGTCAATCGATCTATCCCTCGTTCCTTCTGTCTGCGCCTCGGTGCGAGTGCGTCGGTCTTGGTACGCTCGCCCAGTCTGGGTGTCCAGCCTTTTGCTGCAAGTTGCTCAGGCACCGCGCTTTTGTCAGGAATCGTGAGGACTATCGACCCCGTGACGCACCAGTTCCTTGTGCTCACCTCTGTCCCGCCCGAGCAATTGCAACGAGTGAACACCTTCGTGAAGGGCGCCATCCATCTGCCCGCGCCTACTCTTCTCCGAGGCGTACGCTAGCCTCTCCTTGTATTGAAGTTGTTTATTGTTGATGATGATGTTCATGTTCACGTTCATGTTCATGAATGCTCACCGTGTGTCACTACCAACCAGGGCTGGCTGAGCAACCCGTATCTCATGGCGGAGGCCATCTCGCGACCTGGCGGCGCCAAGATGACTGGTCGGTCCAACATCCAGCGAAAGCATACCGCAAGTGGTGCCAGGAAGTGAACAATAAAGCCTGCCCCTTCTGGCCGAACATGCACCAACCAACCTGCGAGCTCCCTTCACTTCCTGGTCTTCGTCATCATCGCCAAAAGCGGCTCCTCTTGTGAGCAAAAAGATGAAGATTACCACTGGAGGGAGTTGAACCCCCCGAGTAGGTCCTGACAGGCTTATGGCTCCTAACATGGCTATTCCCACATCAGTGGCCCTCAGTACTCCCTTGCAGGAGGAGGGTGTGATATTAGACAAAGGGATAGCAAGATACCTACTCTCCAACCCTTGGCAGTGGTTTGAGGTGTCTTCCCACAGGACTGCTCTGCAGGAAGCCCATAAGAAGCCACCATCTCCCTCTTAGATGAGCCATTATGGGATCCTCAACTTAGCTGAAAATGCAGACCACTTGGTTGACCTGCTTTTGCCCAAGTAACGAAACGGAAGGGTGTGAAGCTGGCTTTATATGGCTTTGCGTTGGTGTGAATGGGGTGGTTGGTTAGCGCACTCCCCTCTCTACGACGCTGCACCACTCGCCCCCGTGGGCCACCTTCAACTCAGGCGTTCAGAACGGTTACTCAACAAAATTGCCTCCTTCCTATCCCTGCTGGAGAAGGCGCGGCGAGGAGGTGTAGATGGTCAGGGTCAGCAGAGCGTCAGTGAGTCTATGGCTGACCGACAGAGGGGTACCTACCTTAGCTGCTGCTTTTGGAGTGCCTGCAAAGCCACTCGAGGGTCATGTCGATGTTGACATTGTTCTTGGCCGAGATGGAGTAGCAGCACACCTCGCGGCCCGTGATTGATTTGAGGTCCCTGCAGGCGCGGCACACAAAGGAGCATAAGAGATTGTCACCAACTGCAACGTCAGTAACAAAGGGGATGACGATGGTAGTGAAGCATGGATGAGGGCGCCGTACAAAAGCTCGATGGTGTCGTGCACGCCCACGGCCTCCGGCAGGTCGTTCTTGTTGGCCAGCACGAGCAGAGGAATGCCGGCCAGCGGCGGCTTGCTCATGAGCTCCTGCAGTTCCTTTTTGGCCGTTTCAAACTTCTCCTGGTCGGCAGCGTCCACCACGTAGCTGCACCACAAGTTCGATCAGCACACACGAGCAAGGGGAGTATTGCAGCTTGCACGGACGTGCGAATGAATGATGAATGCGCATGCAGGAAGAAGATACGTACACAATCGCGTTCACCCCTCGGCAGTATCTTTCCCACATGCTCCTAAACCGGGGCTGCCCGCCGATGTCCCACAGCTTGATTGTGACGTTACCCTTTGTCACCTTCTTCATGTTGAATCCCACGGTGGGGATCATGTCCTCTTTGAATGAGCCCGACTGGAATTGAAGTAAATTATTAGACCACTCGAACCGATCAATGAATAGATCCAGCGAAAATCAAGTTGCTCATCAATCAATTGGCGATCGCGAATCGCCCGGGCGGTTGGCACGTGCACAAAGGTGGGAAGACGTACGGCGATGACATTAACCAGTGTGGTCTTGCCTGAATTCTGGAGCCCCACAAGGGTCAGTTCCATCTCCTGCTTCCAGAAGAGGCTTCTGAACCATTCGAGCACGCCATCGAAGAAGCTCTTAAACATCGTCGATATAAATTGATCTCTCCTCTATCCTCCTGGTCGCTCTCTCCACCTCTTAATCAAGTGATCAATCTTCCAATCTTTCGGCTAACCACGTATTGCGCCTGCAAAAAAAAAACAGACGATGGAATTTTCGTTCTTCTTTTGCACCCCCCCCAAGTTGCGAGTACCGAAATTTCGACCACCCGACAGCAGGAAGTGCGCACAAGTCGACCGTGTTGTGTTTTCTGCAACAAAGACTCAAGCAGAACCGAGGGCCTTGTGGATATTGATGACGTTGTCGGCGCCGCCGCTGACGATCCGATCGCCGTCCCACGCCACGCAGAGCACCTTGCCCTTGTGCTGGCCGGGCAGGGTGTGGAGCGGAATCCGGCTGCGCGCGTCCCACACCTTGATCGTCCCGTCGTGCGAACCCGTGAGGAGCAGGCTGGACGTCGGGTGCCAGGCCACGCTCGACACCCACAGCTTGTGCGAGATCAACCGGTCCTTTACCACGGCATCTACACGTGCACGTGCGACACACGATGGAGTGAATATAGGCGCTAGTGGGTGTGTGGTTGACATTGGCGATGTGTGTACCGGAAGATCGTGGATCCCAGATGCGAACGACCTTGTCGTTGTGGCCTGAGGCGAGAAGACCGACCGAAGTAGAGTAGGAGATGCTGCTTACGACCTTGTCGCCGGCCTGTACGCATTCTGCTGGTCACCATTTCTGCTGTTTTTGCAGGCAAAGGCGATGGGCAGGAGAGCCAATTTAATGTACCATGACTCGCGTAGCGATTCCGGTCTCAACGTCCCACTGGCGCAGCGAGTGGTCCCACGAGCCACTGTAGATGTTGTACGGCGTGGGCCATGCTACGGAAGACACGCAGAGCGTGTGACCCAGCAGAGTACGGATAGAGCCCTGCGCGTGTCCCCGAGAGGAAGTGGAGTTAGTAGAGAATATGGAGACATCCTGGAAGCGTAGCTATGCCGAGGAGTAGAGTGATCGGCCCACCTTCTTGGCAACTTCAGCGGTGACCTTGGCCTTCTTCTTCGCCGATTTCTTGATCTCGATGTCCTTTACCTCCGACTTCTCTTCCTCCGCCGGCGTTGAGTTGGGGTACCAAAGCTTGATCGAATGATCCCACGAACCGCTGCAAAACTGGGCCAGACCGAACGAACGAAGTCAGTCCACCTGCAGCACGCCCATGGGGCAAGAAGAGCGGTAGTGCGCAGTACTCTTTCGAACGTCGGCTCCACGGCCACACACTCGACCGAGCCAGTGTGTCCGACATACTTGTTGATCGCTTCGTTCGTTTTGTTGGTGGTATCCACCTATGTGTGTCAATTCAGAAAGGTGAAAATCGGGCTTGTGCAGGTACATAGCTCGTTTGCTGAAGTACCTTCCAGTGGAACAGAGAGAAGTCTTGTGAAGCGGTGACAAAGGACGCACTCTCCGCAGTGGCTGTGTGGTATGACCGGTCGGATGAGATGAATGAATTTAATCAAACGTGCTCTTACGCGTCGTGGGAAGGCAGGCAGGCGTACGCTTTGACATCCACGCAACTCCCTTCACGGGGCCAGTGTGGCCGCTCAGCACCGCAACGCACTCACCTTCCGCATTCCACAAGCGCGCCTGCTGATCGAACGAACCAGACACAATGTACCTGCGCCCACGTCGGTGGTCGTAAGATGCTGCGCGGCGCACCCACACGCAAGTTGAATACGTACGGGTTGCCGCCAGCGGCCACGCAAGCCACCCAGTCGTCGTGCGGGAGGTCCTGCTTGTGTTCCGGCTCAGGCATAACTTCCGTGTATTCGATTGCGAGCGTCTCTTCCTGTTGTGTCGCAAGCGTGGTGAGAAGATCGTGTGTGCCTCGGTTGGCGAGCATGAAGCGGCCTACGTACTCGGTTGACATTTCGTTGCTGCACGTAGGTGAGCAGGGATGTGCGCAAGAATTGGTTGTTAATCAGAAAATCGAACAGGCGGGGCGGATCTGCACACGAGATTTGTGCCACAAATCAGCGATTGGATGAGTTGATCAACCTGGCAATGCAAAATCACGAAGGCTGCGGGACGCTCGTACCCAAATCAAGCAATGAATTGATAATCTCGGAGAGACCGTGGCGCGCAAGCCGGAGGGGAACGAAGAAGGGGGTGTCCTCGACTTGAAGCGCGGGATCGGTCAGCTTAGTGGTGAATCGAACTTCGATCTGTTCCTCATTTTCGAAGTCAAGTGCTTCAGACTCGTTCAGGGTCGGATCGGCTTCCATCTTTTTTCTCTTTGCGCTCCGGAAGAGATTATTGAGATTGAAAATTGAGGAGATGGAAACCTGTTTTTGTTTTTTTTTTGCATTTCGGATGCCGGATAAATGCCGGATTTCGAGTGGCTCAAACTTGGGCAGACCAAGGCCGTGCTCTGTCCTGCAAGAGTTGATGGAAGGAAGACGAACAAGGAGGGCAAAGCTTGGATACGTACAGTGAGCTGTTTTCCCTATCAACAAGGTATGAACCCAACTCCCATTTTTCATGGCCAGGTTTTAAGGTGTGCGCAACATCGAACAAGTTGTTGATGTAATAGCCTGTTGTGGCTCGAAGGGGCGCCAGCGGCACATCTTATATTTATAAATATTAATTATAATTATTACCACAATTTTGGTGTAATAGAGCAACGGACGACTCACGTTCGTTTTTCCCTTGGCCCTTTCGCGTAGTACTTTGTCGTGTTCGACCTGGCCACCGCTGCTCAACATCGCGCCACATCAATCGACATCGACATGGGGGGACTACTTAGCAGGGGAGGTAAGGGCGGCAAGGGCGATTTCGATATCGTCATTGGACAGCCCGACTACAATTCGTTCCAGAAGGTGACCGATGCGGCTATGGTGAAGGACTATCTCCAATCGAACCAACCCTCGCATGGACCATCCGAGATGGCAGGACCAGCGGCGGCATCGAAGGGGGAGGCCCTGCCACCCCCGCCAGTACCTCGAGAAGGAGAGAAGGCGGCATCGAAGAAAACGAGCCGAGGAGGATGATGAAGATTTGACAGACGACGAGGACGCGACGGAGGAGGCGCAATCGAACATGCAGCCTGCGGTGCGACAAGACGGCAGCAACAGCGGGCTCTCCGAAACGACGTCGGAGGAGAACAGCTGAAGGGCTAGAAGGAGGGAGATGTGAAGGAAGAAGAGCAGGGGTAAAGCTATATGAACAGAGGAGAGACGCCAAACCATCGAGCGGAGCCATCTCTTTCGAGACGAAGATGGAGGAAGCCTATCGTTGCGGTCCAGCGGAAATTGCTCGATCGAAGGCGGCAAAGAGGAGGAAATCAAGGAAGGCGATGATGCCGGCGGATGGAAGGAATTGGGCCGATTTTATTTGTTTTTCTTGCTCTGCTTTCAACTGTTTATTACTGTAGAACATAGCCACAAAGCAACAACGATTCAAACCAAGATAGAGACCCTGCCCCCATCTTCATCAACAATGGTTTGTTTTCGTACTGTTCGCAGAAGGCGTTCCTGGAACTCTCCAAGCCTGCCCCCACGATAAAAACAAACCAAGGCATAGGACACACAAACGACTAAGATGGAGGCTGACTCAAGGGTGGAGTGTGACGCGCGCACGGTGAACGGGCGGGACTACGTGGACCCCTCTGTTTTGATGGTCAACTGCACCTCCCGCTCCAAAGAGCCCTGGTGCCACGGGTAAATAATGACAACAACTCCTCCCTTTCGTTTGGTGTTGGCCTGCTTCGCTTGCTCTTGACTAATGTGCCATGCGCTTAGGCTGAGTCCCTTCTTCCTGGGGCCTGTGTCGCTCTACGACGGTCACGTCGCCAAGAACGTAGAGAACGCCTGGCAGTATGCCAAGGTAACCAAGTGGTTTTGCCCCTCCCTCCGAACCGGTGTGTACCGTGCTCACGTGGCGAATTCAGGTGTACAAGCAACACGTGGACCCGGTGACGGGCGAGCCTACTGCCGAGTACTGGGAGTGGGCGCTGGCTGGATGGGCCAACCCGGACCCCGTGCGATTCCCCATGGGCAGAGGTACTGCACACACACCACACACCCGCGTGGCGAAAAGAGGAGCCCTTTGTGTTGACGAGCTGGGTCACATTGCAGGCGCCAAGCCCGAGTACTCGTACTGGGACGGGAAGAAGTATGGCTACGTAGCGGCCCGCAAGCGCATCTACGCACCGCTGTACGCCTCGTTGGTAGGTGGCCCTCACCGCTTCACACCTTGCACCAAGCAAGCACTACAACCCCGATTGAATGTTGTTGATCAGGTGGAGAACTCGGTGGCGTTCAAGAAGCTGGCCAAGATATACCGACAGAACAAGCGACTCTATCTCTGGGACTTTGATGGCTACGACCACGTCTCCATGGGCCGCACCCTGCAGCAGGTACGCACCCACCTACAACTCACACACATATAACAATCGGCTCTTCACCCGCACACGCTGAAGCAACGTTCGCACTCACGCCCAGGTGCTGGACGACCCCAACAAGAAGATGGGCCACGCATTTGTGCTGTTGATGCTCCTTCGCGGGGAGCGCCTTTGGGAAACCGACGACATCCCCGAGTACATGTCGCCAATCCCCAGCCGTCTGTCTCAGTCTTGGTCTAAGCGCGTCTCCTCTGTTCCCATTGTGCCCACCGACACTGTGCAGACTTGACTATGACCCCAAGGCGCGGGAGCGGGTCCCGAAGCCCGAGCCGAGAGGCCCGCTGACGTCGGCGGGCTTCCTCATCAAGTCGGCCGACCTCTACCTCGTGTGCCACGCCACCAACAGGAAGCCGCCCGCTGCAACTGACGGCAGCTGGACCATCTCGAAGGGCATCGTCGACGCGGACGAGACGCCGATCGAGGCGGCCATAAGGGAGCTGAAGGAGGAGACGGGGATCGACCTCAAGGGCGAGGAGCCGCTCACCTCGCTCATCCCGGCCCCGGACGCTCAGCCCATCAACTCCTACACCGTAGGCAAGGGTGCCGCCAAGAAGACGGTACGCCTGCCCTCTTCACGCAGGCGCCACAGTGACCACCGCGGCCCGACACACACACACACACACGGCTCTGCTCATCGTTGACTGCGACAACAACAACAACAGGTGCTGGTGTATGAGATAGACGACAAGGAGGGCCTGCTGCGATTGCACAGGACGAAAGAGCTCACGTGCACGTCGCTCATTGAGGGAGACTACTCGCCCGTGCATGTGCGCGGCCTGCCCGAGCTCGACGCCTTCTCGTGGGTGACGCAGTCCGACGCGCAGGCCATGGTCTTCCAGTCCCAGAAGCACCTCTTTGGACCCGTTCCCGAACGCGCACCCAAGGCCAAGGCTGCCAAGCCTCGCGGCCAGCGAGGTCGAGGCCCTGCAGCTGCACCAGAGGCCGAAGCGGAGGGCAGCAAGGATGACTGAGCCATCGGGCGTTCTCTTCTCCTTCTATTGCAGCCAACACGACGTTCCACGAGCTCTCTTCTCTTCATCGACGCAGCATGTCGGCGAAGCGGTCGGCGAGGCCGACGATGCGTTGGGTGGTGTGGGGTCGTGCCGGGGCGAAGGTGAGGAGTAGCGCGACGTCGCCCTTGTTTGCCAGTCGGTGGACCACCAGGCCGCGGCCTTTGTGCGCCGAGATGGCAAGCACCCGGTGCGTGTCGGCTCTGCACACGGCCAGCTTCTGGCCCAGCAGCTCGAAGCCCTCCTGCGTTACGCACGCCCTCTTCCTGTCTTGGCCCTTGGTGAAGCCGAGGGGGTTGGAGTCGTCTTCCTCGAGGTTGGTGTCGACGTCGAGACCGCACGACGAAGTGGCGCCGTCTTGGGGCTCTATGCGTGCCATTACGCGTTGCAAGCGCTCGACCCTCTTGTCGGCGTTGAACTGGTGAGCGAACAGGCCCACGAACTGCTGTCGCACGACGGCATCCTTCGCTTCCTCATCTTGCCCCTGAACCGCGAAGGAGAAGGCAGATTGGAGCGAGCCGAAGGCATAAAGGACGTGGCCTTGAGGAGACATGAGGGCAGCACCATCGATTGCAGCCCCGCCAGGCGCCAACAAATGCTCTGCCAACAATCGACAAGATAATTGATGTTAAAGATGCAAATCGATGAGAACCAGCATCGTAACCAGTGGACATACCTTGCACTAAGCCATGCCAACTCAGCAAATCCATAGTTGAGGAAATGGCGCAGCCAAGTTGCGTTCAGCGTTTTCCCGCCTTTTGTTTTTGTGGCAAAACTTATTATTGGCCCCCGTGGCAGCTTCACCACCACACCATCTTCATCTACCCACTCACCAACTGGGTGAGCTTTAAATTGCGGAGTCCCCCTGGTCTCTTCTTTGTCGTTTCCGGTGTTCCCATAACCTTCTGAAGCAAAACGTGAGCTGCCGCAGATCTTGTCTTGCGGGGACTGGTACCTTGTGGGAAAGAATGTCAACAATTCTCAGCCAACGGCGGTGTATGGGGCACCATTCCCTTCACCAACACACGAAAGAATGCCAGTCCTGACGAGAACATGTTGGGTTATTACTTGGCCAATACGGAAGTAGCTCAGGTGGTGTCGGGGACCAAGAGCCCGACATCAACCCCACCAGGATCTGGACACGGCGCAACGTCCAAATGTTCCATTTTCATTTCGAGCCCCTTCATGCCGCACCACCATCTCTCGCTCTTCTTCGTTGTGCTCGCCCTCGCGGCCTTCGTGCCGTTTGGCGTAAGGGGGGCGGCCGGCGCGACGGCGTCGGGTGGCTGCACTGCATCTGCCGGTGCCGCCTCCCCATATCCCGCCAACAACTCCACCCAGGGCCAGCTCGTGGCACCGGACGACCGCAACCGCACCTTCACTGTCTACGTGCCGCCCGGCTATCGGTCCGACCAGCCCTCGGCCGTCGTGCTCCTCTTCCACGGCGGCTTCGGCACCGGCCAGCAGGCCCAAAAGGCCTACAAGATGGTACTTAGATAGGCGGGGTGAAGGGTAATCCAAAGCTCACATCATCGTCATCAACACACAACCAGGACGAGACGGCGGAGGCCAACAACTTCATCGTGGTCTACCCCGACGCATGGCGCGTATCGACCCTGACGTCGTGGAACGGCGGGGCGTGCTGCAACCCGTCGGCCAACCTCGGCGTGGACGACGTCGGGTTCGTGTCGGCTCTGCTGGACCACCTCGAGGCGAGCCTCTGCATCGACACCTCGGCCGTGTTCGCCGCCGGCATGTCCAACGGCGCCATCATGTCCTATCGCCTGGCCTGCGAGCTCTCCCACCGACTGGCGGCCATCGCGCCCGTGGAGGGCGTGCTCGAGTTCAGCCCTTGCACGCCGTCGCGGCCCGTGCCGGTGCTGGCGGTCCACGGCCTGGCCGACCTCAACATTCCCTTCGAGGGGGGCTTCGGCTGCGGGGCGACCAACGTCAACTTCACCTCGGTGCCGGCCAGCATCGACGTCATGGCGGCGGCCAACGGGTGCTCGTGCCGCTGGCAGGCCAACGGGTCGTGCGCGACGACCTATCTCGTGGAGGGCCACGGGTCGTGCCTGTCGTACGGACCGTGCGAAGGGGCCAAGGTCGACGTCGTGCTGTGCTCAGTCGAGGGCAACGGTCACGCGTGGCCCGGCGCGTCGGACGGAGTGGCAAGCGAGGGCTGCAACAACACGGCCGTCGCGGACTTTCACACCAACACGCACATCTGGGCCTTCTTCAACGCCACGAGGACCACCGCCAGCGGTGGCGGCGAGGTGTCGTCGGCCAGCACGCCGCTGTTGCACGCCATGTGGCAGTCGGTAATCGCCTGGCTCTTTTGACGATCTAGGACGCGTGGACACACAAACTGGTGTATGTGTGAGAGAGAGCTGTAATAAAGAACAAGAAACCAAACACGACACTCACTGGGGTGGAACGGGGGGCTGGTCGTTGACGCTGGGCATGTGTGAGAAGATGCCCCGTCCGAAGTACTTGGCCACCACCTCGAAACCGTCCGACGCCGCGTCCAACTGACAGTAAACGACGCGTAAGTGCACATCGCCAGAGCGAACACGATCACACGTGTCATTAATGGCAAGGCCGGGAGGGCGAACCTCTCTGAAGAAGGCCTCGTGCTGCTCCGAGTTCTCTTCGAGGGACTTCTTGATCTCCAAAATCTTTCTGTTGTTGCGCACGCACACGGGGCACTCCTGCAGACACACACACACACACACACACACATCCCAATCGCACCGCGTGTCAGTGATCACCTCGAGTCCATTCCCTTACTCTAATGCTGCGCACCTTGTCGTACTCGCCGAGACACCTGAGGTGGAAGGAGTGCATGCACAGGAAGTGGACGGAGGGCAGGTCGAGGGGACCGGTACAGGCCGTGCACTTGTGCAGCTGGAAAATCTTGGCCCTGCGCGACGTCGCACGCCATACCACACCACCCGCATGTTAGCAGCCGTCACCGTGGAAAAAGAGTCTTGGTTGTGTTGTTTTCTTGTGTGTGTGTGTGTCCCACGTACCCCGATCGCAGTTCCTCGAATTCCTTCTTCATCTTCTCCGTCTCCTCGCGGTAGTTATTGATGCAGCGCTGATCCTCGGCGATGAGCTGATTCTCCTGCGAGAGCCTGCGCACGATGTAGTCTTTGACCACAGCCAGCTGCGTCGTCGGCTGGTGTATGGCAACAACCACAATAAATAGTGGTGACGCGCAGTGAGTCTCTCTTAACACCATCCTGCGCACCGTGGGCTCGAGCAAGTGGCGAACCTTTTGCGAGAGGATCTGGATGATGGGGAGCGGGGGCAGGAGGTTCTCCCGGTCGATGTTGTTGAGCACCTCGCCGATCTCGTGCTGGCAGTCGTCGTCGCGGAGGGCAAAGTAGGTCAGGGCCTCGATCCACAGGTCCGGATCCATCGGCCTTTCGTGCCATTGGAAAGGAGGTGTGAGTGTGCGCGACGTCGCGCGCGGTTGCATACATTTACACATACCCGTATTTCTTGCAGGAGCTGATGACCTGTTCGTAGTCGTTGTTCTCCATATGGAAGTCCACAATCTCATGGTACCTGCGTGGGTGGATTGCAGGGTGACGAAGACGTGAGTCACGCCCGTCGTGATGCGAGAGGGGCGGCGGTGGCGGAGAGCATATACAGCTTGAGGTGTTCGTAGACGACGAGGATGCCCGCCTTGAAGTCGTGCATTTGGCACAGCACCAACGCATGGTCTTCATCAAATTGCGCCTGCAAAAAGAAACGATGAGTAAAAGAAAGGAAGGAAAAGACGAAACTAAAACAACGACAAACGCGCATAAAGAGTATTTCTTGTAGGTACCCGCGGGTCATTGAGGAGCGCGATAGCTCTGTTCAGACGCTCCGTCCTGGCCATGACCGGGACCTTGTCGCCCACCTGCCCCAATAGTTAGTTCACTCGAGTCGTGAGTGGCGCGCGTGCAGTGGTGCGCGTGTAACGACGGCGTCGTGTCTCGTACGTCATCTCGGAGGTAGATTTCGAGGAGGGTGTTGTAGACGAGGTTGGTGGCGAGACCCTGCTGCACGATGAACTCGAGGAACTTGGCCAGCCACTCCTCCTGACCGACGAACACATGGATGAACTCCTCGGCGTTGGCCTGCCCAAAGATCAGATAAGACCAGCAGCGAGCAGCCAGGTGAGTGTAACGGCCCGTTTCAGCGGGAGTGGAGCGCTGACGAGAAGCGAACAGCCAAACGCACCTTGGGCCGTGGCTGAGCAAAGCTCTCGGTGGCCTCTGCCAACACAAAGTCAAGACCAAGCGTTAACACCCAACGACTACATAGCATCGCCTCGCATCGCCGGATGATGGGAGGGGGGAGAGATTACCTTTAGTGCCCTTGGGTTTGTAGTTTGTACAGAGGTCCATGAGGAGGTTGGTGGTCTGCTCGGGCATGCACGACACCAGATTCTTGCCGTACTTCTTCAGCACCTTTTCGCACTGTTGTGCAGGTGTGGTGCCGACACAACGACGTCACGACGTCAGCGGAGGCCAGCGGGCGGCGGAGAGAGAAGGAGACTGAGTACCTCGAAGAAGTTGAGGGTGGCGATGTAGGTGAGCGCGTTCTGGTAGTCCTTCAGATCCTCAACAATGATCTTCAGCGCTTGCTCGTGGTGATTATGGCGCTACACGCATCCACCAAGTTAGCAGGTGTCGCGTGTGTCGCGTGTGTCGTGCATCTTACCTTGGCGAGGTAGAGCGCGTGTTCAAAGTAGCCCGCCTGTCTGCACACCTTGATCGCCGTCTTGACCTCGAATTTGAGGTTCGACCCCGCCTATACCGAGCGACCGCATCAGCATTTCAGCTCAGATACACACATGACCATCACCCGCACCTTGATGAACTCGTCGAGCTTTTGGACATCCTTAAGCTTGGTGTAGCAGTTGAACAGCAGTGTCGTGTGGTCCGCGTTGGCCAAGCCTTGTTCGTGCAGCGCCTATGCGCACCAACAAGCGCACACGCGCTCTGACGAGTCAGTACCAGCGACAACACGCGCCACACGTGTCACACGCTCGCTCGCACGTACCTGGAGGTAGGAGGTGAGGTTGTGTATGCGCTGGGCGTCGAGGAACTTGCGGATGACGTAGGAGGGCTCGAGTCGACTAATCGTTCGCAGGTACTGGCGCATGGCTCCGTCGTAGTCGCCCTTCCTTCAATGACGCAAGGCCTTGTGTCAACAGCGAAGAGCGGGCAAGAAGGAGGGTAAAGGAAGGATGAATGGGGTAGCGCACGAGTAGAGATGGTCGCCGTATTTCCTGAAGATGTCGGTGATCGAGTTGTAGTCGTACTGCTGGCTGTGGGCGAGATCGATGGCCACCGAATAGAGGTTCTTCTTGAAGAGTGTCTCCAGCTTCGTCTGCGTGTCCTTCTCTTGCACTTGGTACAGCTGCACATTCACCACAACACCTATCAGCATATTTCAAACTCACATGTGCCGTGTGCGTGTGCGGTGCGTACCAGGCCGTCGCGGGTGAGAACAAAGATAGAACCCCACTCCGATACGATGTAGGATATGTTGGTGAAGGTGGTCGTGTAGGCGATGAACTTGTTCTTCAAATCGTAGATCGTGAACACGTCTTGCTTCGGTCCGCTGCGATGTCCAAGTGTTAGCGTAAGCAGCAACATGTGTACTTACTGCGCGACATTGTAGGAGTTGAGCTCGAGAACTGAAGAATTTTACCTGGCGACCTCCTGCTGGCTGACGACAATGAGGTAGCCACGGAACCAGGACAGCATCTTCTTCTCGCCCTCGAACGCGAAGCACGGGCCGCGGCCTTCGGGTTCGTAGAAATAGACCGCCTGTATGTGGTATGAATTACATGAGTGGGCCGTGCCACGCATTATTCAGACACCAGTGGCGGTACCTCCTTTCGGCCAATGCAGAGGTCGTGAGTGTCGCTGATCACGGCGCGGCCCAGCTCGCAGCCTCTATCATCAAGCACCTCCTATAGCAGTTGCACCCCATAACGTGAGGCCATGCTCGAAACAAGCAGGGCACAGCTCGTGAACACGATGCAGTGCGCGCGGGTCACATACGGTCGGGGTCCGCTGCAGGGACGTGTGGTAGGCCACAGTAGAGTCGGGCGTGGCGGCGAAGAGCGTCGTCCTGTCCTTGCCGTCGTCGGAGAAGCCCAGCCCTGGGTGAGGTGACGTGCCGCGAGGAGAGAGAGAGAGAGAGTGGAATCGTCAGCGTTGCGCGAAGCTGAGAGTGCGTGCGGGGTGGGTGGTACCGGTGATGGGTGAATAGGAAGGATTGGAGAGAGGCACGAGCTTGGGCGCACGCTCGTGGCCGAGGTCGCGCATGAGCAGGACCACGCCGTTGCACAGACCGATGGCGACCTGGGAGAGGTCCTCCAGGACGGCCAAGCAGGTCACCGGCACGACGGCGCCCACGGGCGGCTGGATCTTGATCGACCGCAGGCACAGAGGATTGCCAGACTTGTCGGCCTTGTCCAAGTTCCACACCTGCCGATCACCAAAAACACGGCCAACACACGCAAGTCAAACCCCGCCAAAGACATGGTACTGTAAGGAGCTATGCGCTGGAGGCGACCTTGAGCGTGGGCGAGATGGCATCGTCGTCATCACCGATGGCGACGAGAATGTTGGCCTGCTTGAGCTGCTCGGCATGGGTGACCGAGAAGCGGAAAGCCTGGAAGGAGTAGACCTTGAAGTCACGGTCCACCACGTTGACGAAGCCCGAAGTATGTAGGCACTAGTCAAGGAAATACACTTTTTTGTGTGCTGTACAGTGTGGGTGTCGGCGCGTGCGTTGTTGTGGCAGCTGTGCGTGAAACATGAAAAGAGAGAGAAGGCGCGTGTGGAATGCACTCAAAATGAAGGGGGTTGGAAAGGATATCTCCAAAGATGAGGTTGCCGCGACCACTGGTGCAGCAATTTATGTCCAATTTCTATGAGGAAGAGTATGGTCAGCATCGTTCAAGTTAATCGAATTTAATAACAACGCAAAAAATGTGCGTGCCTGTATAATTTGGTGCGGATTGTCACTGGAGCCGCCCTCCTTGACTAGTTCTTGTTCGAAGAACTGGAATCGCTTCCATTGAAACATTTTCAGCCTCTGCCGATATGATCAATCAGCAGAGAGAAAATCGGCTTGTGTCTGTCGCGTCGATCTTTCGTTCCCCTTCTCTGTCTGGAAGAAAAATGGACAAAGAAACAGTTCGAAAATCGCCCAACCAAAAATCAAACTTTTTTGAATTCCTGCTCTAAATTCCCCACGGCGAGTTAACCCACCTATCGGCGTGATAGGACTTTCTAAATAAAAGCCACCACAGCACTTGTTGGCCAAGCGTTTCAATCTCAGGAAGACAAGAGATGGGAGCGGCGCTGACTTCGCTCTACCGACGATATGTGCAGGGGGCACAGCGGTTGCCGGGAGATGACGAAGAATCTCTCGGCGGCAACACGCTGGGCACTACAAATGCGCCACCTCAGAAAAATCCTGATCTCAAGGCGAACCTCAAGGTCATCCGCAAGCTGCTGCCATACCTCTGGCCCGAGGGCAAATACCTCCTGCGGCTGCGAGTGGTCTTCTCGCTTCTGTTCCTCTTTTCCAACAACGTGTGGTCGGTGCTCACGCCCATCACCTACAAGAAGGCCGTCGACGACCTCTCCCCACCCGATCCTACCTTCCCCATCTTCTGGGTGTTTGCCTACTGCGTGCTCAAGTTTTTCAGTCGCGCCTCCAACGACATCCGCGATGCCATCTTCGTCAAGGTAGCACCTTCTCCTTTTGGGGCCAACAGATTATGATTTGCATGAATGCCAATCTTAAGGCCTGGCAACGTGCGTGCAGGTGTCGCAAGCTGCGCTGAAGTCCGTCTCGCTGGACATCTTCAATCACCTCCACTCGCTCTCGCTGCGCTTCCACTTGAACCGCCAGACCGGCGGCATCCTGCGAGCCATAGAGCGAGGCACCTCCAGCGCCAGGTGCGTCGTCTCATCTCGCCTTGCTCTCTCAAATAATACTATGACCATCTTCATCTGACCCTACCTTCGTTTTACTCCAGTTATCTCTTGTCCATGATCCTGTTCAACATTCTACCCATCTTTGTCGAGGTACAGTTCTTGCCTTGCCTTGCCGAGGCCGCTGACGTTGATGCCACGTGTGGCTGTTGTGTGCGATCAGGTGGGCTTGACGTGCGTGGTGCTGATCTCGATCTATGACATCTGGTTCACGATCATCACGCTTGTCACCGTCGTTGCTTACATTGGTAAGTCCGTTTGGAAGCGAGAATGCAATCACCACTCAAAAGCGCCCTCATCAGCTCCAAGCATTAACGCGCACGCGCCTCCGCACACGCACACACCAGCCTACACGATCTCGGTCACCGAATGGCGCAACAAGTTTCGCAGGCTCATGAACGAGAAGGACAACGAATCGACCAACAAGGCTGTCGACTCGCTCATCAACTTCGGTAATGCCATTCATCTCTTCATCTAAGCTTTCCTACAACGTCGACTCATGCGTAATGTCTCAATCTGCTCAGAAACGGTCAAGTACTTCTGCAACGAGCAACACGAAGCCCAACGCTTTGAGCGAGCGCTTGACGGTATGTCATCTGTCCTCCCGGTTTGATTGATGGGTGTGCTGAGCCCTGCTTCCATCACAGAAAAGGTGGTGGCGGCTGTGAAGAGCACCACCTCCCTGTCGTTGCTCAATTCGGGCCAGGCCATGATCATCGCCCTCGGCACGCTCTTTGTCATGCTGCTTGCGGTACCGGCATTTCTACGTCACCCCGTGCGTTGTTCACTTGTGTGCTTACGCTTGATTGTGGCTCGCGCAGGGCAAGCGAGCTACGGACGGCGAAATGACCGTTGGTGACTTTGTCCTGGTCAACACGTACATGATGCAACTCTACACGCCCCTCAACTGGCTCGGTAACTTGTCTGCCCAACACAAGTCTTGTTGCTGTGTCTGTTGCTCAACGTCCGGCACTATGTTCAGGTACCAGCTACCGTATGATCAAGCAGTCGATGGTCGACTTGGAGAACCTCTTCACGCTCCTCGACGAGCCCATCGAGGTGGCGGATGCCGAGAATGCGCGCCGTCTCGAAGTCATCGACGCCGAGGTCAAGGTAGCGTCTCGATTTCCCTCTCTTACCATTTTGCCCATACACCCTGCGATCTGGCTTTAACCGATCGTGATTACCGTTTCTTGGCCACCTCTAGTTCAAGAACGTGTCGTTCTCGTACAAGGACAACTTGCCCATCATCAAGAATGTCTCGTTCACCATTCCCAGCGGTCACACTGTAGCGGTCGTCGGGCCGACAGGATCCGGCAAATCAACACGTACGTGCCCTCTGCGCCTTGGCCTCTCTCGCAATGGCGTAGGCGTGTGCCACTCTAACCTTCATGCGCCCACGTTGCGTGCAGTTGCTCGCCTTCTTTTCCGTTTCTACGATCTTGATAGTGGCAAGATCACCGTGGACGACCAGGATATCGCGCGGGTCAGGCAGCGATCTCTGCGCAAGGCCATCGGCGTCGTTCCGCAAGATACGGTACCATGATGTCAACACTTGGGACTGCGTTACGCTTATGCTCACTACTTATGTTTCCTTTACGCAGGTGCTCTTCAATGAGACGATCAAATACAACATCATGTACGGCCGACCCGACGCCACTGACGCAGAGGTGGAGACGGCTGCCCGGTTGGCCCAAATCCATGACTTCATCATGTCCCTGCCCGAGGGCTACGAGACCAAGGTCGGCGAGCGAGGTACGGCACAATCGCGAGCCCGTCCAAACGCAGGACCTGACACCTATTGCGAGATCTTGGCCCGTTGCGGCCGCTGTGTAATTTTCCTAACGTGTGACTGTGCAGGACTGCGCCTGAGCGGAGGTGAGAAGCAACGCGTGTCCATCGCACGAGCAATCCTGAAGGACCCGGCCGTGATGATATTCGATGAGGCCACCTCCGCCCTCGACACTCACACCGGTACGTGTCCTGACACCTAGACTACCCAGCTCCTGGGTTACGCCATTGGTCTCTTTTTAGGCCTGTGTGAGCAGCGGCCGGCGCTAATCACAGTTGTGTTCCTTCTTTCGGCATTTTAGAGAAAGAGATCCAGGGCGCACTGCGCGAAGTGAGCAAGGGCCGGACTACGCTCGTGATCGCGCATCGCTTGTCCACCATTGTGGATGCCGGTACGTGTTACCGCCACGCCAACTTGGCCATGGCGGAGGCTCACTCACTCACACTCACACACACAGACGAGATCCTCGTGCTACGCAAGGGCGAAGTGGTGGAGCGAGGCACTCATGAAGAGTTGCTGCAACGGGAGGGCGAGTACGCCGAGATGTGGCACCGCCAGCTGGCCGAGATTAGCAGCACCAACGGAGCCGAAGGCGAAGCGGACAGCGGCGCCGGCGTTGCACCCCTCATCGACCCGTCCCTTTTGGCCGACTCCTCTGCGACCCCTCATCGCCATCACCATCACTAGGTGCCGCTGCCGCGACCTGTGCCGCTCACCACAACATACGATGCGCGACTTTAGGGTGCTGAAGGCCCCGTGCAAGTGTTGAAGCACATCACCTGGTTGAGCACACCACAGCTTGGATTGGCCGCTGGTAATGATCATCGTGGTGGGCCTCATTTTTGTGCTTGGTTGGCACGTTCTTCTGCGGGCGTGTCCAACGAGTGCGGCCCCTCCCCGACAACAGTTGGGGAAAGGCCGAGCGGAGTCACTGCAGATTCGGTGAGCGGTCAGGACAAACCGACAAGCTCCTCGATTGGTTGACCGTATTAGGTCGTAGGCGTGGCCTATTGGTGGGATAGGTGGGGAACCAGCTGCCGACCCTGTTGGCTAGGCGAACCGGAGTAACCAGGTTAGACGCCGGTGGGCAAACCAAGTCGGCGCCCACCTTTTTTTTTAAGCTTTTACACCCAGCCCCAGCATCTTCTATCCTCCTGCTGGCCGCCACAACCCACAAGGCCTTCCTTCAACACAACTGCGACATGCCGTCTCACCACCGCCACGAAGGCCCACTATCCCTGGTGGCTGCCACCTGTCTCGTGGTCGCTGTGGTGGCACTCCTCTTCCCCGCCTGTGGTACCTTCTCTTCGGCTCCATCTTTGCTGTGTCGTGAAAGAAAGCACAAAGAAGATGATGCATCAACCAACCTAACTTCGTACCTTGACACACATATCAATGCACAGGCGGGGTCCAGCTGTACGGCGGAGGAGTGTCGGATGGCCTCAACCTGTTCAACCAGATGACCTACCAGTACCGGTTCTATAGCGACGTGACGTCGGTGACCTACTACGCGGCCTCGACGGCGGTCGGCGCCGCGAACTACCGCCTCGGCGTGTACGATTTCATGGCCGTGGACACCACCCTGCCGGACGACCTTTACCAGGAGGGCTTCATCCAGCTGCCTCTCATGGCCAGCTCGCTCGTCATCTACCACAGCCTCAACATTTCCAGCACCCTCGTACGTACCCATTTTTCCCCTACGTAGTGCACCGCAACCGGTGTCCACTTCACCATTCTCTAATTGGCTCGGACCTAAATTGATAAAGTGGAAGATTATTGTGATTGGTTGCGATCGCCCCGGGCGCTAATCACGGTCAATGGGGCGTTTCATAACACAACACGCAGATCTTGGACGGGCCGACGCTCGCGGGGATATGGCTGGGAAACATCACGAATTGGAACGACCCGCAGCTGCAGGAGCTCAACCCCAACTCAACCATGCCCGACGCCCCCATCCGCATGAGTTACTTCTCCGGCATCAGCTACGGCACCCACGCCACCTTCGTCAAGGCCCTCGCCACCTTTGAGTACGCGGCGTCGCCTACAACTTAACTCCGGAGCAACCACTCCTGCGCAACACTTTAACTCCGAGCTACTCATAAGTAATGCGGGCGCTGGGATGACCGATCTGACATGTATGGTGTGGTTTTCCTGGTTGTTCGTGACGCGTGCAGTCCCCAGCTGGAGGCCATCCTGAAGGCGCACAACTACTCCCTCGGCGTTCTGCCCCCGGCAGTGGCCGGGCGGGCCGTTGCTCAAACCTCGGCGGCCACCCTCCTGAGCTTCGTCAAGGTACCTTGCATTCACCAAGCAACTCTCTCCACCTCGTTCAGCCTGGGCCTGCTTATTGATGCCCTTCTTCTTCTTCTTCTCCACAGAACAACGCCAATGCGTTCTGCTACCTGAACTTGAACGGCGCCAAGGTGGCGAACATGCCGGTGGCGGCGATGAAAAACAAGGCCGGCAACATCGTGTACCCCACCGAGACGACGGTCACGTCGTCCATGGACGACTTCCGTTACGTGCTCGACGAGGGCGACCTGGCCTACGATCTGGGTAACGGCGCAGGAAACAATTCGTGGCCCATGACCTTCGTCGTGTCCGTGGCCCTCTACAAGAACATCACCCGCTCCGACTGCTCCTACGTCTCCGAACTTCTGCAGTTCATCGCCTGGACCCAGGTCAACGAAGAGGTATGCACCTCGCCATTTCTTTCATTCCTTCGTCCTCACTCTCGAATCTCTTAACCGGTATCGTCGGACGCTCAGGTTGCCACGGCCGTCGATTCGATCCAGTACGTGCCGCTCACCTTCGGCTACAAGAAGCGCGTGACCGACATGATCAGTGCGTTTCTCCCATGATACAACTGGTGGAACCAAGGGCTGACGCAATGCTGCTGCTGCCACTACTTATAGGTCAGATCACGTGCAACGGCAGTCCTGGCCTGTCGGCGGCCTTCCTCGTGGGCATGGGGCCGTCCTATCCGATTTACAACACCTGGTTCCTCAACTACGGCTCCGGTCTTTTCCAGCTCAAGTACTTCAACTCCGATTCCGCCACCACAGTGTCGGAGATCCTGGCCAGTGCGTCTTCGCTCGATCTTTCTTTCGTTCTTTCGCTCTTTCGTTCGTTCGTTCTTTCCCGTCAAGGACCCAAGACCTGACAGTCTTGCGCCTTTCGGCATTGGCGCGCAGACGATCTCGACTTTGCGACGCCGAACCAGGGCTTGACCTCGACCCTCCAGGCTTCGATGCCCGACGTCAAGCCCATCCCGAGCTTCGCCTTCGCGGTCGTGCCTGGATATAACGTACTGCTCTACCGACAGCCCGCTTTTCTGCCTTTCGCCACTCATGCTTCACATTCCACTCACTTCACACCCCACCCACACCAGGTCCCTGAATTGTACAAAACGACACCGCTCGTCCTCAGCTTCCAAGTCATTTCCGAGATCATGCTGGGTACGTCACCAGCCACGCTTTCCCTTCAAGGCCTTCCAGCTTACTTTCCCTTTTCCTGCACACCAGGCAACATTGTGAAGTGGAACGACTCCCAGATTGCGGCGCTCAACCCGAATATCTCAAACCTCCTGCCCAATGCCAACATCGTGGTGGTGTACAACACCCCCACCGATCCGATCACCCTCATGTGGACCTCGGCGCTGAGCCGCGCGGTCCCGGGCTTCAACTCGGCCGTTGGGCCGCTCTCGCAGTTCACGCCTCTGGTGCCGACCGCCAGTCTGGTGGGCGTCAACGCCACAGTGTCACCCATGCAGCCCATGAGCACGACCACCTACACCTTCACCATGTGGAGCAGCAACGAGCTCCAGGCGCTGCGTAACGTCAAGGTGGCCAGCCTCGAGAATTGGGCCGGGAACACGGTGGACTTCAGCCTCGGCACAATCCAGGCCACCCTCGACGACTGGACCGGCGACACCGACAGCACCACCGCCGTCCCCTTCCCCTCCTTGGCCAAGCGCGACAGTACGTGCACTTCTTCCGTTAGTGGTCAGCGCCGCCTCGAGCTCACATTCCTTCCGCACACAACCCACACAGCCGTCTCGTCGAACAGCTGGCCGATGGTGATGTACAATCAGATGTGGGTCTACCAGAGCACGATGACCAACTGCAACAAGGCCAAGTCCCTGGCCGACTGGCTGTACTGGACGCAGACTGACTCCGAGGCCCTGACCTCGGCCACCAGGAACTACGTCCTGCCGCTGAGCAGCGTGGACCGGTTCAACAAGACCATCCTGACGCGCATTGCCAGCATGACCTGCAACGGCGTCGCCGTGAGCTCGGTCGCTGGCTGCGTGTACCAGGGCATGGTGTGCGCCGACGCGGGCGCGTGCGTGAATTCCAAGTGCGTGTGCCACAGCGATCGCCAGGGCGAGTACTGTCAGACCGCTGTACGATTACGCACCCCCGCCCTTTGCTCAGAGGGAAACTGTGACATCGATTGCTTCGCTCACACGAGCACCGCAGGTCTCGTCCTCCGACAGCCTGAGCACCGGCGCCATCCTGGGCATCGTGCTGGGCGCCTCCATTCCCGGAGTGATCATCCTGGTGTGCCTCATCGTGCTCGTGGCCGTCGCCATCTCCACCTTCGCTGCCAGGGTGCGTTGCAACGACAACAGACCAACACCACCCCTGTGTGAAAGTGGTGGGGCCTGGGCTGACCTCAATGCGGGTTGTCGCGCTGCTTACGGTTGCAGAGGCGCACGAAGGGCGACTGGGAGATCGACTACAGCGAACTGGAGATGGGCGAGCAGCTCGGTACGGGCGGATACGGAGAGGTCAACAAGGCCATGTGGAAGGGTACCGAGGTTGCAGTCAAGATGATGGTCGCCTCCAGCATCACCAAGGACATGGAGCGGGACTTCCGCGATGAGGTATATACCGCGTCTCTCCGGCGAGCCCACCCACTTCCGCACACGGGGCCGTCGGTGAGCTTAAAAACTCACAACTACATGTGTGCGTGTACCACAGGTGAGGGTGATGACCGCGCTCAGGCACCCCAACGTGGTGCTGTTCATGGCCGCGTGCACCAAGCCGCCCAAGATGTGCATCGTCATGGAGTTCATGTCTCTCGGCTCGCTCTACGACGTACGCGCTCTCCAACCACATACGCTCGTGTGACGGCGCCTCACTCTAGCGTGTTTCCTCTCCATCAACAGCTGCTTCACAACGAGCTCATTCCTGAGATTCCGTTCCAGCTCAAGGTACTGTAGCTGCACAGCGAACCGAATGCAGTGTTTCTCATCACTCAATCGCGCGCGTGTGAGCAGGTCAAGACCGCCTACCAGGCCGCCAAGGGCATGCACTTCCTGCACTCGTCGGGCATCGTGCACCGCGATCTCAAGTCGCTCAACCTGCTGCTCGACTCCAAGTGGAATGTCAAGGTGTCCGACTTTGGGCTCACCAAGTTCCGCTCGGAGATGAAGAAGGGCCAGGGTGCGGCCGACCACCTGCAGGGCAGCATCCACTGGACCGCGCCCGAGATCCTCAACGAGTCGCTCGACTCCGACTTCATCCTCGCCGACGTCTACAGCTTCGGCATCATCCTGTGGGAGATCCTCACCCGCACCCAGCCCTACGAGGGAATGAGGTGCGTCACATACCAGGAATTCCTTATTGCTCCGGTGGTCTTTTACTGACGTGATGTGTGCGTGGTGCGCGGTGCGTGGGGCCAGCCCTGCGGCGATCGCTGTGGCGGTGATTCGCGACCAGTTGCGGCCGAAGATGCCGTCGTCGGTGGTGTCGCTGGACTACGAGGACCTGGTGCGCAGCTGCTGGCACGAGGACCCCACGATCCGGCCCACGTTCCTCGAGATCATGACCCGCCTCACCAGCATGAGCAACGACAACAGCAGCGGCGGCGGCTTGCAGTCGTCGAGCTACTCGGGCGGGTCCACCAGCGACCTGCCCCTCCAGCACACCGGCTCGTCGGCCTGGAGCCTCAACTCCAACACCACCTCCTCGGCCTCCGACGGCTCCCATTCATCGGCCAAGTCCGGCGGGGCCGCAGGCATCCGCCCGCCCGACGGCGAGGTAGCATTCCTTTGCATTCCACCGTGTGTGTCGTGCGTGTCGTGCGGGAAGTTGATCGTGTGTGCGGTGTGTGTGTAGGTCACGATCGTGTTCACGGATATTACGCGTGCGGCGTCGTTGTGGGAGTTCAGCCCGAACGCGATGCGCGACGCGACGCTGCTGCACAACCAGCTTCTGCGCTCGCTGCTGACCGAGCACCGCGGCTACGAGGTCATCTTCGCCAAGGACCGCAACACGGGCGAGGGCTCGTTCTGCATCGCCTTCCACACCCCCGCCGAGGCCCTCGAGTGGTGCACGGCCGTGCAGCAGGGCCTGCTCCAGGTCGAGTGGCCCTCTGAGCTCCTCAACCACCCCGGCGCCGCCGAAGAATGGTACCACCACCCGACACGACACCACGCACGACACAACACACGCGCTCATAATACTAATCATTTCGGGCTGGTTGAACCCCAACAGGGCGGATGTGGGCGACAAGGTGCTGTACAAGGGTCCGCGGGTGCGGATGGGCGTGCACCTGGGCAAGCCGCACAAGACGCGCGACCCGATCACCCGCCGGGTGGAGTACTACGGGCCGGTGGTCAACACCGCCGCGCGCATCACCTCGCTCACCCACGGCGGGCAGGTCATCTTCTCCCACACCGTGTGGCACCGGCTCAACGCCGACGCCGCCGCGCTGGTCAAGGAGGAGCACCGGGTCCTCTCCCTGGGCAAGTTCGACATGCCCGACGCGCCCCGCGGCGCCAAGCTCTACGAGCTCAAGGTCAAGCACCTCGAGGGCCGGTTCTTCGGCGGCGTGTCGACCGGCGCCGGCGACGTGTCGTCGTCATCGGGCGCCGGGTCGTCCGAGCACTCGGGCGGCGGCGGCGATGAGGGAGACAGCGGCGGCAAGCGGTCGGGCAAGAGCGAGGACAGCGACGAGCCGATGCAGGAGGCGGTGGGCGAGGGGATGATGTACAAGGAGGACCACTTCCTGACGTCGGCCAACCTGTGCCGGTGGGTGATCGACTTCAAGGAGATCCAGATGGGCCGGCAGATCGGGATGGGGTCGTACGGCGTGGTCTACACGGGCAAGTGGAAGGGCGTCGAGGTGGCGGTCAAGCGGTTCATCAAGCAGAAGCTCGACGAACGCCGTATGCTCGAGTTCCGCGCCGAGATGGCCTTCCTCTCCGAGCTCCACCACCCCAACATCGTCCTCTTCATCGGTACGCTCCCTCTCTCATGACACGACACGACCAACGACACGACCACGACACGACACGGGTGTAGTGCTGACGTGACACGACACGACACACCAGGCGCGTGCGTGAAGATGCCGAATCTGTGTATCGTGACCGAGTTCGTGAAGCAGGGCGCGCTGAAGGAGATCCTGGCGGATAACTCGATCAGGCTCGCCTGGGACCAGCGTCTGCGCGGACTGCGAAGCGCCGCGCTGGGCATCAACTACCTCCACTCGCTCGAGCCGGTGATCGTGCATCGCGACTTGAAGCCGTCCAACCTGCTCGTGGACGAGAACTGGAACGTCAAGGTGGCCGACTTCGGCTTCGCGCGGATCAAGGAGGAGAACGCGACCATGACCCGCTGCGGCACGCCCTGCTGGACGGCGCCGGAGGTCATCCGCGGGGAGAAGTACGACGAGCGGGCCGACGTGTACAGCTTCGGCGTGATCATGTGGGAGGTGCTGACCCGCAAGCAGCCCTTCGCCGGGCGCAACTTCATGGGCGTCTCGCTCGACGTGCTCGAGGGCAAGCGCCCGCAGATCCCCCTGGACTGCCCCGAGAAGTACAAGAAGGTGCGACCTCGCCCCCCCCCTTTGCGTTGAACAAGTTGTACTCACCTCATTCACGAACACACACAACCACAGTTGATGAAGAAGTGCTGGCACAACAATCCGGAGAAGAGGCCCCCGATGGAACTCATCATCGAGAGGCTCGACGCCCTGCTTGGCCAGGAAGGTGCCCGCGACGTCTAAACCACACGTCGTCGGCCACCCTGTCTTGCTGTACCTGTACCCCTGTAACTGTAGTATATACTTGTTTTTAAACTACTACGCGCCTCCGGATTGGTGTGGCGAAGTAAATAGACAGCAAAAAAGACAAGAAAATCACAATAAACATGGACGACGCAGCCTTTGCGCAGCTGGTGTTCAACCCCTACGAGAGCAGCCGCGAACTCACGGACGACGAGAGGCTTCAGGTTCTCCTTTTACTTCTTTCCTCTCTTTCTCCTCTCCCTCTGTCTTTGCCGCCGGCTAAGCGTGGCTGCGTAGTTGCGGCGGGGGGTGCTGTTCGACAGCACCAAGATCGACGTCTTCGAGCGGTCGAGCTTCCGTCAGCTCACCCCGCCCCTCTCCCCCGACCAGCTCCGACTGGTGCTCTCCCTTCTATTCTAATTTTTAATGCAACAAAGTTGGGTCAGTTGTGACCCTTTGCCAGTTTGCTGAGGCGCTGGTGGAGGCGGACCTGGGCGAGTGGCCCGACGCTGATCTGCCGTCGGGCCTGTGGAAGTGCCACAACCTGAAGATGTTGTCCTGCCACGGCAGCAAAAAGGTCCTCTTCTTCTTCTTCACCATCACCATCATCGTGTTCTCCAAGAACTCACACCACGACCGTCCCAGATCACGTCGTTGAGTCCTGCGATCGGCCGCATGAAGAAGCTGCGGGAGCTGAACGCGGGCAACTGCAGCCGGCTGCGCTTCTTGCCCTTCGAGATCACACACACCCTTCTACCCCAGAATCGCCATCTGCTCGCCTTCACGACCGGGGACACGAAGGACCGGCTAGCACCTCTTCCTCGCTTCCCCACAGGTAAGCAAACCACAAAGTGCACACTTCGCCACGGGTGCAGACTCCAGAGTTCACCACGCCACTGCCGCGGCAGGTCCACTTTCGCTCAAGGAGACGACCGCGCGTGCGATCGTGCGGCGTCCACCCGGCAGCCGACGGCCAGATGAGGAGGTGCCGCTCCCTGCGGACCTGGAATCGTATCTGCGCGCCGCGAAGCGCTGCTCCAAGTGCCACGGGTAAGTGATCGATCCACTCTACCACTGCCGCAGCACGAGTGAATGAATGAATGAAGTGAACGAACGAATGAATGAATGAATGCGTGCAGGCCGTTCTTCGACGCCTACTTTGCGTGTTGGTCGGCGTGGGACAACGTCTTCTGGAAGGTGCCTCTGCTGTCGATCTCGTGCTCGCGGCAGTGCGCCAGGGCCATACCCAACCTCATGGTCGCCGACGGCGAGCCTGTGCCGCCACCCACCTACCAGTACTCCGCCTACGACGACTATGGCTATGACGACGACTACGGCTATGACGATGACGACGACCGCTACGATGATTGTGAAGAGGAGCTGTTGCGTGATCTGTTATGATAAATGAAAGATCTACGATTGTCTATTTGGCATGTTGGAACTAACTGTACAGGATACAACGTTGGCCTCTCCAGAATCGGCCGCTCCCACCTCCTCCCCCAACCTATGTGCATGTGATTGTCGTTCGACGCGTCGTGCGCCGACGTAGCGGAGCGTAGCAGAGCAGAGCACTTGTCGCTTAGCCGCGGAGGAGGTTGTCGTTGCCCTTCCACGGGTCGTGGTAGAGCGGAGAGTGGGAGGCGCCCTCGAAGCCCGGGTCGTCGATCTTGACGCCGTAGATGCCTGGCATGCTGCCCCGCCTAATGAGGAACGCCAGCAGGCCCGCCAGCGCGCCGAACAGACAGGCCAGCAGGAGCGCGCCGGCGGCGGCACCCACCGCGATACCCGCGATCTCGCCGCCGCCGAGGCCGCCGCCGCCGGGCACGCAGCCGCAGGCGTCCGAGTCGGCCGAGTAGCCGCTGCCGTAGGCATCCTCGCACAGCTGGTCCGTGACAAAGCAGTAGCAGTCTGCAGAAGCAAAACGCGCGTGAGTGCGCTGTATTTGTGTGTGTGTGTGTGTGTGTGTGTGTGATGCGTACCGCAGCTCTCGACGGAGGAGTTCCAGAAGCGGCCCTGGCTGCGGCAAGCGTCGACGGCCATGCTCGAGCACACGCACCCGCAGAGGGTGGGGTCGGGCGACACCACGAAGTCCTTGTCGACGACGTTGCACTGGTCGTCGGTGAGCGGACAGCCACAGCTGCACGTGGCAGCGTCGTAGGTGCTGTTGGCCGGACAGTCGGCTTCAGTCAGCGTGCACTGGCAACCGCAGGTCTCGTTCACGCTCGCCCAATAGGGGTTGCCATTGTGCTCTGTGACACGAGGCGAGGGTTGAGGTTAGGGGAATGATGATGATGACGTCAGCACACGCGGCGCGGGCAGAGAAGTTGTACGAGCTTGGCACAGCTCGTCGGTGACGGCGCACACGCAGCCGCACACGGGAGGCGCCTGGAACACTTCATTGGGGCCACACTCCGACTGGACGCAAGCCGTCACGATCTTGGCGTAGACGTCCGCGTAGGTCACGTTCGACTCCCTCGTCACGAACCCCTTGATGGGGGTGAGGTCGGTGCTGTCGTCCTGCACGAAGCCGACGATCTGGAGCGTGTACTCGATGTTGTCCTTCGTGAACGTGTCGGTGAGGACCAGATCGGAGAACGAGAAGCGGTCGTCGCACGGCACGCTGGCTGTAGCAATCCAATGCATTTTTTTCCGTCAGTCACACGCCGCTGGCCTCACCGCCGCAACCGAGCGACGCCCTAAGGGTGGAGAGAAAATGTGACGTACTCTTCTGGATGACCGGGTCGCAGTTGGCGAGCACCGTGTTGGGGGTCTCAATGAAGTCTGTGCAGGGCGCGCGAGAGGTAAGATCAGCACCACTGCAGAACTAGCACAGTCAGTTGTCTTGAGACGACGAAGAGCGTACTGAGTGGGTAGCTGATCGAGAACGGCTGGCTGAGCTCCGGAGCGTCCATGGACAGAGTGAGGCGCAGCTGGGTCGGAGAGAAGCCCTGCAGTGGGTCGAGTGTCAGTGCGCGTGTACAGAAAAAAGACACGACACGCACGGCGTACACAGGACACACGACGGGGGGGGGACACGTACGGCGATGGGGTTGTTGTAGTGGGTCATCCTGCCGATCTTGGTGGCCACGCCATCGGTGGGGTTGGACACGATCGTCACGTTGCTGACTCCGCGGAAGCCCACGCCCGAAGAACCGAAGCAGTTGCAGGTGACGCCCCAGATCGGATTGCACTCGCCCCACCTGGTACAGCCCACGCACCGCACACGCACAGCCGCACACGCGTTAGACGCCGCACCAACGTACATATACGCCCGGCCAGACATGGGGGAGGGGTACCTCTGTTGGTTGTCGTCGGGCTCGTTGAAGCCCAGGGAAGGACACGCAGAATTGTCGACCCACGAGCAGCCGTTGGCTGCAGAGCAGTCGCAGTAGTCGCATGTGCTGGGCGTGTCTTGTCTATATATAAATATAAAATAAAGATAATAAATAAATAAAATAATATTGTGTGGTGGGTGCTGAGAGTCAGAAGTGAAGCGATGGATGGGGGGTGGGCGGATGGGCGAGTCCAACCTGAAGGAACCGGCGACGTTGACGTGGAAGGTGTCTTGGACGTCAAACTTGTTTTGGCCTGCAACAGCAGCAGCAGCACGAGCCAGTCAGCCATCCGCAGAAAGACGAAGCTAGAAGGCTTGGTGGGGTAAGGGGGCCGTACCGCTGGCGAAGACGACCCAGGCCATAAGGCAGAGGGCCAGGATGTGTACTGCCCGATGAGATACTCGCTTCATTTCTGTGATGTGTGACGGTGCTCTTGGGTGGGGGGTTCTTCTTCCTCTTCTTCGCTTGACACTGTTCCGCAACACCTGGTGCAGAACGTGGCTTGTCTTCTCGAAGCGGGCCGGTGAAGGTGCGGCGATGTGAAGGTGCGAGTGGAATATGAAGAGAATAAGAAGACCAGCTGCACGCAGAGAGAGAAGTGCAGAACAATAAAAACTCCTGGACAAGGTGGTGGTGACAGGTGTTTTATAGGTACCTTCCCTGCACCGTGCCTCGTCTGGACTCCCACCAATCCCCAGGGTAGCCCAACTGGGGATCCTGCACAGGCTCCGCTTTGGTAAACTCCTAGTGCACCACACCAACCATGGGGCGTGAGTCGCACAGGCCACCGCCTTACGATGTTGCCGTACGACCGAACGAAAGAGGCATTTTCGCACTTTTTTTAACTCCGATTGGGCCGGCCTTTGTTCCACAGAACGGCGAGGACTTCTGGTTGCTCCGGAGAGAGCACGGCGGGTCCTGGTATATGGGCAAGGGAGTTTAGGAGTGTGGCCAGGAGCAGCTGGGATAGGGTGTAGCATACACGACACCTTGGGAATCACTGCCCAACCCCCGAATTAACGATCTGCCCATCATACTCGCGGATACGCATGGCCACTTGGTGGGAGATAAACACCAAAAGTCCTGTGAGTGTACCATACCACCACCAAGCCACGAAAAAAAAACCACCACGACTTGGCATCGCTTCTATACACTTATCTCTTCTATCCAGCGTCTCCTTCACACCAGCCACCTTTCCTAGCTCGAAGGAAAGAGTGTTCCCAACGAAAAAAGACGGCAAAAAACCAAGCCGTACCTTTCGTTACCAGACGCCACACCACTTACCTACCTACACACAAACGGAAGCGATAACGATGCGGTCTTCCTGTTCGGCTGTCGTGCGAGTCTTCGCGGGGCTACTCGTGCTCTGCGCCCTGTCCCAGTCGCTCGTGGTGACCAAGTTTCCCCACTTCCAGACCTTTGACTCGTGGGACGAGTGCAGCTATGCCGGAACGTGTTACGAGAAGGTATCGCCATCACCTGTTGACCACACACCACACACCACACACCACACGCACGAGTGAGTTGGGATGTGGCTGGTGGCTGATCGAAACGGGGGCGTACGCAGGAATGCATCAACCTGCCGGCGGGATGGGCGAACGTGCCGATCGAAGCCGTGGAGTTCTACAACCAGTCACGCAACTGGTGGATCACCGAGGGCCAGACGTCGTCGAACGTCGACTGGGAGACCAGGAATCCTCTCACGTGTAGCGAGGTACGTGCGCTGGGCTCGAGACATCGCTTGACCGCCTCTCGCAGCAGTTTCTCAGGCCTCACCTCGCCCTCTCGCTGCAGCTGTTGACCGGTCCCTGCGGCGACCACACGAGCACCTCGGGCAAGTACGCCTATATCGAGGCGTCGGGGTGCTACGGTTCCGAGTTTGAGTTCTTCAGTCCCACCATCATGTACACGAACGAAAGTACGAAACAAGCGACGCCAGCGCTGGTGGTGGTTACGCGCGTACCATGCCGACTGATGTGCGTGTGTGTGGCTGGTCCGCAGGCGCCACGGTGAGCTTCTACTACTTCATGTACGGTGCGGACATGGACGCCGCCGAGGGCAAGGCCACGCTCACGCTGTCGATGAAGGCCCTCAACGCGTCTTCCCCGTCGTGGGTCGACGTGGTGACGTTCACCGGCCAGCAGCAGACCAGCCCCACCGAGGCTTGGCGAGTCCACGAGGCCAACGTCGACAGCCTCCTCCCGGCGACCGCCTCCACCAGCGCTCCGATGGCTGTGCAGTACAGATTCAGGTGAGTATCACATCATGTGCTGTAATGACGTGGCAAGGTAGCGGTACTGATGCTGGTCGTGTGTAGGGCTGCGACGGCTGGCACGAGGGGCTTGACCAAGGACTTCTTCAAGAGTGATATCGCGCTCGACGATGTGCTCTTTACCCAGAGCGGTGCATCCAAGGACACCACGCCTTACGTAGACCCCACGCCGACGCCCTCGCCTTCGCCAGCGAACGACGGTACAACGTTTCTCTGTGTTTGCGTGTGAGCCAGTGCACTGTCTATCGAGGTGCTGGATGGGTGGCTTACCGTGCGTCTTCTTCTTGTTAACACAGCTGCTCCTGGCGGCGGCGGCGGACTGGAGGACTGGGAGATCGGCACCATCGTGGGCAGCATTCTGGGTGGCCTGTTGTTGCTTGCCCTTCTCCTGGCCGCGGCCGTGATCATCCTCCTGCTCATCATCAGCCCGAGGCGCAACATGCAGAAGGTGCGCAGCGGCTCCACGAGCAGCTCGGGAGGCTCGGGCAGCTCCGACAACGAGGCGCCGGTCAACCCGATCGCGCCTCCGCCCACGGAGCACTACAGGAACAGTGTGGTCATGTAAAGGCCGACGGCGAGCTCTGGGATCGTCCGTTTGGATGTGGATGTAGGTGTGCATAGTGGAGAGGAAAGCGGAACATGTAGATATAATCGGCCTAAAAGAAAACAACCGGCTTTTGTTGCTTGGCTCAAGGAAGTAGTTCAGCGAATGAGGGAGGAGGAAATGGGGAGCTAATCTTTGGGCAGACAAGAAGAAGATGGAGGAGAGCAGCAAGGCGGTACCTGTGTGTGGGCGCTTCCCGCAAGTGCCCTTCTGTGGCTGCACCATCCCGTGTCGGGTTGCGATGAAGGAGGTCCAGCTCTACAAGGTCCTGCCGGGGCTCTACCTTGGACCCCTTCAAGCGGCGTACAAGGTCCGCCTCAGCTGTTGAGGAGCTGCGCCACCCCTGCTTGCCTAATGAGCAGGAGGGCGGCGGAAGGTGGGAGAACTGCAGGAGCAGGGGATTACGCACATCCTTGACTTGGCCGACCAGCCCTACACGAAGTACACGGACCGCTTCAAGTACCTGAGCATAGCGATTGCGGACAACGAGAACGAAGACCTGCTGCAACATTTCGCGAGCACCAACGCTTTCATCAACGACGCAATAGCGCGAGGGGGCGCTGTTCTCGTTCACTGCGACGCCTGCGTCTCGCGCTCGCCCAGCGTAGTCATCGCGTATCTTCTACACTCGCAACGAATGGATGTCGATGCAGCCCTCGCTTTCGTACGCACCGCCCGAAGCCGTGCCAAGCCCAACGAGGGATTCATGCGCCAGCTTCGCATCTACAACTCATCTTTGCCATCTCGTTGCGATTCGAATAGTGGTGGGAAAACCGTGTAGCGCGAGGCGCAATAAATGAAATCTGTCGATGTCCGCAAAATAGCCGAGCGCACAGGCAGCACAACAAGGGGCCATCAATAGCAAAAAACAAGCAACAATGAACGTCCAGGCCGAGAACCCCGCTGTGGTGTATCAGCAAATTGAGAATCGCGAGGAGCACGAGGAAAATTGCCCTCAGCAAGATGAGCCGGCCGAGGTCGAGATGACCTACACCGCCGAGAACCAGGCCATCATCGATAACTCGACCAAGTGGGTCTTCTTCCTCATTCTTGTCCAGATGGTACGGTTATTTTCACTCTCCTATCCAACCAGCGGTCATCTTACCCTTCCTTCTCTAGCTCGTGTCGATTCCCGAATGGGGTCCGGGCACCTTCGGTACCTTCTTCCCGTACTTCAATCTCTTCATGGCCATCCTCGGTTGGATTGGTGTGCGCCGCCAGCACCTCGGCTTGATCGTCTCGGTACGTCAGTAATACCCATGCTTCGTGATGCATTTTGCTAACGTAGGATCGTACAGCACTTCCTCTATTCGATGCTGTGCCTGTTCGGCCTTGTGATGGTGTTCTCCCTCTCCGTCTTCTACGCCGCAAACATCCGCCTGGAGTGGCTGGCCATCTTGACCTGCGTCATCTTTGCATCGAGCTTCCTCCTCAGGAAGCAGAGGCTGCTCATCCAGGCCCTCTGCACCAAGAAGGGTACGCAGCACCCTTCGCGCTCTTCCCGCCCCTGCCAGCCGCAACTCATCACGCACGCCCATGTTCACATGCCCGCAGTCCCTGTGATGGTCGACGCTGAGGACCCCATGGTGGTGGAGCTGCCCATGACCCCCCTGGAGGCTCCCTCGGCGCCCTCAGTGGTGGCCGGCGACCACATGCCCGCCTTCTACCCGGCCTACCCTCAGGACCAGCCCATCCCCATGCTCATCCAGACCGAGGCGGGCAACCAGGTCGTCTACATGTACCCGGTCATGCCCAACCCTCAGTTCGCGCCCGCGCCCGCCGAGTTCCAGCAGCAGCCGCAGCCGCCCAAGGACGCTTCCCAGCAGTAACGGGATGCCTGATACGCGCGTGTACCACTGAAGCAAGAAGAGTGTCGGTCAGTGTAAATAGCCAAGGAATCAGCACTCGTTCAACCAGCATCGCTTAGGTTCAAGAAGGAGGGAGACGGCAAGTGCGGAAGAAGGAGGAGGAGGAGGAAGAGAGCTCGGTCTTGCCAACATTTTTATCAACAAAGAAGAGCGTGTGTAGTGGTGGAGTAGCCGCCTACTCACGCCCACGGTTCTGTGGTACAAGTGAATGAAGGGAGGACTAGGCAGGAGGTCTCCCCTTCGTAAGTGTACAGTTGTGTGCCAGCGTGAAACGGATAATAAATAAGAGATGGGGCGGGTGCAGAGGGTTCAGAGCGAGGAGATGAGGCAGTAGAAGAGCATGAACATGATGACGAAGACGCCGCCCAGGAACTTGGGATTGCCGAGCCACTCGTCCGGCTTGCTGGGTTTCTCGAGTCGCATCTCGTCGTAGAAAGTCTTCCAGTCGACTCGTCGAAAATCCTTTCGTTCCCAGCGATCGTATCGCTCAAATCGGCTTCGCAGGTCGATCGACGTAATGGTAGTTCGCGATTTACGCCTCTTCTGCACCTCGCACCAGCACATGCGCCGCCAGTAGTCGTTCTTGTTCTCGATCACCGACTGCTTGTAGTTGTTCCTGAACTCGTGGTCGTCATCCCCCTCAATCTCGTGCCGCTTCTTGATGCTCTTCTTGGGGCTTGAGGTTTGCGTTCGCGTGACGTTGAAGGAGGCCGCCTTCTTCACCACGACTCGCCTCTCGCCCTCGGTCAGTATCACCTCCTCCTTTATGGTCGTTGTCGACGTCGTCTTCACGATCGTCAGATCGTCGAGCATGTTTCTAATCTCATTCGCCATGATGCAAAATTCGGAAGGATCGCGCAATCCTGAGACTAGCCTATCCTTACCGACAAGATACAGGTCGAACGATGATGGTAAGGCAGTGCTAGGGGTCAGGGCTCATTCGGCACACTCGTCTCGGCGTGATCCAAGAGACGATCGACGAAAAGGACAAGGGGCGGTTGTCCTGGCTCTATTCCTCCTTTCCGTTTTCACCAGCCGTGCGCCCGCACGCCTCGCATATTTCCGCAGAAGTCGTGGGAACGCACCACAAGGTTCATTCTCCCACCACCTGCCCTCCCACGTCCGCGGAAGAGATGTGGTTGGTGTGGCCTTTGCTATTGATGCCATCGACTTGATGGTGGTGTGCTAGTCGCATACAATCCGATGATAGGGGTAATTATTGTATTTTTACAGGGCGTGCGAACCTTTTCGATAAATAGAGACCTGGCGCTTCAGTTGCCCGCCAAGATGGAGGAGCGTGGAGAGGACGGCGTAGAAGAGGCGGGCGATGAGTATGGCGAGGTGTCGGCCGATGAAGGCTCGGTGGAGCCCGTGGTGGGCGAGATGAGCTGGTCCTCCGGTTTCGACCTCCGCGAGCGCTGTGGCTTCTGCTCCACTGCCGGCGCCGCAGCCGCTGCCGCCGCCATCTCCCTCTGCTTCTGTTCCCACTTGGAACGGGTCGATCGGAACGAGTGCATCCGTATTGACCGCAGGTGGCCCAGCTCGCGCTGTCTTACCTCCTTCGTGAACGTCGAATTGCTGTACACCATCGATAGTTCGATTAGGTCAGAGTGCACACAATCACAGAAAGGAGAAGGCGCGGAGGCGCACCTTGTGGTTTCGAGCCTCAGTTCGCTGTTGACTCGCTTGCCCAGCATGCCACCCTCCTTCTTCCATTCGGTGATGTCGTCTCCGCTAGTGCTCCTTGCTTCGCTCCTCTTCTCCTCCTCCGCCGTCGCCCTCCTCTCCCTCCGGAGCTTTCCACAGGCCTCCGCTTCATCACCAGACGACGACGACGACGATTCATCCTCGCCGTTGTTGTTGTGGTGGTGCTGGTTAGCTTCCTCCTCTTCCTTGTGCTCTTGCTCGTGGTGCTCTTCGGTTCCTCCTTTGATCGCCCTACCATCCCCGTCCTTCGTCTCCTCCCTGCTGTCGCCCTCTCGACCTTGCTCGCCCGCTTCGCGATCCTGTTCCACCTCTCGCGACTCCTCCCGCACCTCCGACGCCGCGCCACCCTCTGGCGGTTTCTGCTCCGCCGCCTCGGTGTCCTTCGCGGCCTGCTCCTCTTCGCCGGCGTGCTCTCCGTTCGCCGAAGGTGCAGCATCGGGCGAAGAATCGCTTCGCCGCTGCTCCTCCTCGGTACCGGCTTCCGATAAGCCAGTAGGCGATGTAGAGCCAGAGTGCTTCTTCTCCGTCCTCTTCTTCGCGGGGACAGCGTTGTCAGAAGCGGATAGCACAAGAGGCTGGTAAACGGCACACAAGACGACACACACAGCTGGTTGAGAATGGCAGTTGCGTTGCGCAGGTGCTGCCGTGTGTGTGTGTTTTTGTGTTTGTGTGTTTGTGTCGTGTACCTGAGCCTGCGGGAGAGAGGCATGCTCTATCGCGCTACCGGAGCCCGACCGCGGTTGGGATGGTGTCGCGGTGACGATGCGCTGGAAGAGGGACGACGATGACCCAGACTTTTGAATCATCGCCTCCTTGAGACGTTGCGCGCTAATCTTTCTCTTGAGCCGAGCTTTCTTGTCCTCCTTGGCGGCCTCTATGCCAGCATTCTGCTGTGGGTCCTCCTTCTCCTTCTCCTTCTCCTTCACCTTCTCTTCCTTTTCGGTCGTCTCCGCTGAAGTTGCAGTTGCCGCTGCCGCAGCCGCCGCAGCTGCAGCTGCTGCCGCCTTCTTCTCCGCCCTGGCCTTCTTCTTCTCGCGCCTCTTCTCCTTGGCCTTCTCCTTCTCGTCCCTTTCATCGTCGGTCGATGCCACCTCACTGGCGTTCGAGCCCTTCCTCCTGCGGGACCGCTGGATGATGGCCGTCACCTCCGACGACCTGGGGCCGCCGATTCCGTCGTCCAGCTTGCCGGCCTTGCCGCCCGACGATGACGATGACAGCTCGTCGCTGTGCGGGTGCGTGGCGGCGGAGCTCGAGGTCGAGAGCGAGCGCCCAGGGCGTGTACCTCGCACATCGTCCTTCCCGCCGCTCTCCTTCTCGTCGGCCGACTTCGACTTCCCGATACTGCTGATACTGCTCCGGCTGCTCCGCTTGGAGTCTGTGCTGCTCTCGCTTTTCCGTTTCTCCCTGAAGCCACATCGCGATCAAGTGAGTGAGCCATGCACGCGCGTACGAATGCGGAAGAGAAACGCGGAGGCTTGAATGGATACGCACTTGGACGCACGCCTGCCCTTGCCCTTCTCCTTGTCGTCCAGCTTCTTCTCCTCGCGGAGGTAGCTCTGGCGTTGCTTGATTCTGGGCGATGGCACGCAGTCGGCACAGGAGACCGAGGAGCCGAGCCCGGAGTCGGCAGGGTGCGATGACGACGACGAAGACGCCTCCACGCCGTTGAGGTCAGAAACGGAGATCTGCGTCTTGAGCGATCGCACGCTGCTGGAGTAGTGCGGGAGAGGCGACCGCGTCTTGGATCGTTTCCGCAGGAAGAGCCGCGAGAAGAGCGAGGGCGATTCGGCCTTTACCATGCCCTCGGTGATGGTGTGTCGACCTCGCGAGCCCTTCTTGCCGCCATCCTTGGCATCGGGCACGCCGCCGTTCACTTCAGGCGGCTCGAAGGCGCCCGAATCGACCCCCCGTGGCGAGCCAGGGTCGAGAATCGCCTCCACCTCTCCCGAGTTCAGTTGTCGCGGAGGCGAGGGGAGCGAAAGCGAGGCGTCTGCCTCGCCGGACTGGGCCTGAATCTGCCGGATGCGGGCAGTGTGGGCACGCAGCCGTGACTCCCATCGTGAAGACACTGTGCTGGATCTGCGGAGATGAGAGGTGGGGTTGGCGACGCGAAAATGCAACAACAACAACAACAACAACAACGTGAACTGACATGTGGGGTACCTAGCGATCATGGAATCTTCGGGCAGAAGGGGTGAAGTATAGCGGCCCTCGATGGTCTCCTTGTACCTGGCAGCCTTCGATTGAGCCGTGTCCCTCACTCGCTCTGCAGCGACACCGTTGTGTAATTTTAGATGTTGAATCAGAAGAGTGAAGACACTCTAAGGAGCTAATATTGCACATACCGTAGTGTTCGCTTCGCTTGGCTTCGATATCGCTTCTGAGCGCTTGGAACGCACGCACCCAGTCGTCCCTCTCGAAGGCGGACTTGGCGTACAGTCTAACTAACGCCGTCTTGCCGCCCTCCGACGTGAGAGCCAACCCGAACTTGTCGCCTGTCGACGTTTGACACCGCGCACCGTCGCCGTCAAGTGAGTTGTCGTGCGCGCTTGGGAAGAAGGGGGAGGAAAGACGAACGTTCGGTGTCGGGCATGGGCGCGGGGGAGACGTGGTAGAGGTTCCACGAGTGGAGGTACTTGAGGACCTGGAGGTCCGGCTCGCCCTTCCGGCCCTTCTTGACCATGGGCTTGGTTTCGAGCAGCAGGTCGTTGAACAGGATCACGACTCGGTTCTCCTTCTTCTTGTTCTCCAGCGACCACACCACCATCTCGCCCTGTCGCACGTACTTACGCGACGCCTGCGCCAGATTCTGCACGATCGACAATCACCGACGCCAAACAACGATTAGCACGACAACCCTCAAGCGCCAGCGACATCACATCGCCGAGGCGGTTACGAAGGTGAATGGAGACACGTACGTCTATCTTGCCGAAGAGTCTGGACTGGATCTCGCTGACCTTGGTGATATTCTCGGCCTCCTCGCACCTCTTTTCTATGTACACCGCCACCTCTCTGATCTTCTCCGCAGCTTTCCCGAGCGATTCGTAATCCTAGGGGAAGGCGTGTCACAGCGTCAGCCGTTATGCCATGGCGGTGGGTGCGGGAACTGGGCACAGCCCTGCACATACCAGATGTTCGGGATCGCTGTGGCTAATCAGGTCTTTGAGAAGCAGCTGGTATCGAGGGATACGCTGGACGGGCTGAATCAGCAAAGCGGCGATGTCCTGGCCATTCGCCTTCTCGGCGCATTCCTGGACACAGCACGTGAACAGAGCGCTCTTAGCGATCGGAACGATCACCGCGAAGAGCGTCTCAAGCGTCATTACCTCGAGGAATTGTCGAAACTTGGGCATCTGCTTCTTCAGGCTGGTGATGTGAGCGATGGCCTTGTTGTACTTGGTGACGTACTGCGTGTACGCTTTCAAAAATGCGGCCTGTTCAACGAGGAGGCGTTGAGTGTGAGCATTCACATTTCGAAAAAGCGGATAAAAGCGGGGCCGGTGTCGGGTCATGAGTGGTGATGCGCGTACAACTTGCAGGAAGATATCGCCCAACGACTGGTTGGGGTGCCATTTGGCGAGACGCGGCTTGATATCGTTCAGCATCTTGCCGTTGTAGTTACGAATCACCTGGAGCGAGCACACGGTGGGATGAAGGGGGTAGTGAGCATCACGTTAAACAGCAGTCGTGCCACCAAAAAGAGCACAGACCTGGATATCTGCAAACACTCCCTTGAACCCTTCGAGGGCCTCGTCCTTCGATTCCAGCTCTTTTCGCAACGGCTCCAAGAAGACCTGCGCACACGAGACCCGGACATGAGCCAAGCGTCCGTAGTAAAACAGGGCACGAAGGAATACAAATCGGTACCTCGGAGAGGAGTCGAAGGTTGTCGACGTAGTCCTGCTCGGTCTTCTCAATTTCACGGGCCACGCTTTCTCTGTAGGCCGCATTCCTCACTACGAAGCCGATGCATGTAGAACGTCAGCCCCCTTTGGTGGCCCGATGGGGTGGCCGCTCATGCCAAAAAGGTGGCGGCGGGAGGGTGAACGCACGCTTCTTCCTGTATTTCACACGCGCCAGCCTGCCTCGGAGAAGGGCTTGCAGCTTGACTACGCCCCGCATCAGGATCTCTTCTTCCTCTGTTAACAAAGAAAGCAAAAACACAGAAGGCGCGTCACTATGGCAGCACAACAAGTTTGCGGTAAGTTGGCGTCCGCGAGGGAATGTACGTGGCGAAAGGGTGATGACGATCACCGATCTGGGGCTGCTCTCGCCGTCTTCTAATTCTAGCACCTTCTCTTTGCCCTTTTCCTGGCCCTCGTCGATGGTGACGACAGTGACCCGCCGAGTCGAGGCGTCCGGCTCCTGCGACGGTGGCGAGGGGGCCTGTGATCGGGGCGATGGGAGCGGCGGCAGGGGTTTGCGTGGTGATTGGCTCCGGGGCGAGGAGGGCTCGGCGTCCTTGATGCTGATGATCTCCTCTGATTCGGTTGCGGCGAGCGAGGAGCTTCTTTCGCCGGAAGACTGGGCTCCGAGGGATGCAGCGATGATTGCCCCAGCCCCGATCCCATACGTAGAGGCCGCTTCCCGTGTGACCAACTTCGCCTTTGACGCCACCACCCGCTTGGTGGCGGGAATGTAGACCGAGGAAAAGTTCCGCTGAGCTCGCTTGCTCGTCTCCTGCACGACAAAGCGGTGCTGATCGTGAGCCACTGACACACATGTGCGACGCACACGCACACAGTCGCAGAGAAACCGAGACGTACCTGAAGGTGGCAGGTGAGGATGCGCACGGCGCGCGCCTTATCCGCATCGGTGAAGAGCTTGCCCTCCGTCATTCCGAGTTCCTCCTCGATCTCGCCGGCCGACTTGAGCTTGAAGTAGAAGTTCCACTCGAGCACCGCTATCTTCGCCAGCTCTTCAATACACTCCCTACACGAGTGTCGCTCACGCGTAAGCACGGCGCACCAACAGTGCAAACAAAGGAGCGCTGCTGGTGTGGGGTGGCGCTTGTGTGAAGGTAGGATGAGAGCACAAAAAGAAGCCCAATACGTACAGGACTTTGATGAGGTTCTTCTCCTCGTAAAGATCGGCGACGGTGAACTTCTTCTTGGCGGGAAAGTCGTGTTCATCGAGGGCCTCGAGGAAGAAGAAGAGATTCTCCTTACGCCTGAAAACGGCCTTCTCCTCGTGAATCTTGGGCACGGAATTGGGCTTCAAGGTGAGCATGACGCGACAGAGCAGCACGCCGTCCTTGAGATTGTCCCAGATGGTGATTTGCTTGCCCGCATCGGCGGCTCCGCCCGCTGGGTTCAGATCTTCGACAAGAATCTGCTCGAGCCATCGCCGCAATGCTAGCTCGCGTAGCAAGAAGTTGCGGATCAGCTTCGTGCCCACGACGACATCTCCCATTTCCTTCGTCGTAGCAGGCGCTCCTTGCAACTTCTGCTGATTGTCCGCCCTACTCTTACACTTTACCAATTTCTCTGACTTCTTCAGTTTCGTCTCGCGTCGCAAGATGGCACTGCCACCTCGATCAGTCGTAAATGATGCAGTTGCGGGTCCGTCCGCCTCGATTCGATTCTCTTTCCTTTTCGGTCCGAACTTCCGTCTTCGTCGTCGTGGTCGACGGCGTATCAGTTGGAGAGGAAGGAGGAGGAGGCCAGCAGGAAGGAGGCTGAAGAGGTGCGAAGCAAGAGCGAATGCCCCCACCGCCGGGTTGTAGAAAATCAATCTAATCAATCAGCCGACAGTTGCTTCTCGCCCCAAATAATAATATTGGCTCTTTTGCGGCCACCACGAGGATCTAGCCTCGGCCCCCGGTTTTTTGGTGGATTGGCGAGTGGGGTCCTTGACGACTTAGGCCAAACAAAGCAGAAGCACGTTGGTGGTGCACGGTGCGAACTTACTTGGCGAGGGAACAGACCGCAATCAGCAGGGGCGAAGGGTCGCCAGGAGTTCTGCGTCGGAGCGGGAGGAAAGCAGCTGCAGCAGAATCCAGCCCGGGCGAGCATCCACCTGTCAATGTCGATGAGCTGGACAGTCTTAGGAGAAGAGGCCAGGGCTGAGAGTGTACCGTGAGGTAGTCCTTGTCCTCTGGTCGCTGGAGCAAAGTGTGGGCACTGAAGAGAACGGAGGTCACCAGCCGGGCCTTCACCAGGCAGGGCAGTAGCCGCAGCTCGGTATCGGAGAGCGGGCTCACTTGGCCATAGCCCTGCAGTACGTTTTTGCCGACCTCCAGTATCCTCGTGTCCTTCTCCGCTCCAGGCCCACCCTCGGCTTTCTCCTCCTTGCGGATCTTGTCGATCATGGCATAGGCCATCAAGATGGCCAGCTCGTTCACAAGATTGGTGTGAGAGACGTCGCCAAAGTCGATGAATGCCTTCACCTCGTTTCTTTCCTCGTCCACGATGATGTTGAGCGCGTTACCGTCACACTGTATGGAGTGGCACAGCGAATCGCTCAGTCAACCCGTCGCCACACTCCATTTCATCGGTTTGGGGTTCGCAAAGTACTTACGTGGATCACGCCAGATGGGATAGAGTCGAGGAGCGGAAGGACCTCCTTCTCAAATTGATCGAACACAGCTTCCACAAGTTCTGTGACAAACGAAGACGCATAATAACACATTATTAGCAAGCGGAGGAGCGGTACAGCAAGAAGGAGCATTGGGTCCGACGAACTGATCTGTGGAGCGGGGGTCTCGGCTCGCGTGAGGGACGACACGTATGGTTTCATGCCCATCAGGTTTTTGATATCCCAAGCGTAGTCAGTGCGTACGAACGGGTGACTGAACCCTGTCCAGGCCTGCCGGGCATGTAAGTCGTTGTGTTCTGGCCAAACGTCGTTGGGAACAGTACCTGATCCATCTTGGCCGCAAACGCGCCCACAGAGTGGTAAAGCTGCGGAGAGGGAGCGGCATGCATGAGAGTGCTACCTTCGATGAACTTGAGCAAGCGCACAAAGGTCTGCTCCTCTCCGCCGCCGGGCTTCTTCACTGAGACACGAACGGGGTCAGCCAACAGGAAGTCATCAGGTCACAATCCAAGGAAGCGAGCACGAATGTACGTGTGACTTGCGGAATGAGTGCGCCAGAGACGGAGGGAATAGCAGCCGGAGCGCACAGTCCCTTGTTCACCAGCCACTCCATGCTTTGATTCTGCATGTCAAGAAACCCTGCGGCGCTCGGCGTGTAAGGCGATAGACGCGAGCCACTCGAAGCCGAATGGTTGCAGCTGCAGCTGCCGTACCCTCGCTCTCGCCGAAGTGAGAAAACTTGAGGGTGTACTTGCCTCCGTCGGCCGTCCTGACGCAGAAGTTCTGCCTCACCCAAACATAGCCATTGACGTCAGCGGAGTGGCAATGCTCCCATTAGCTGTGGGGACTGGAGGGGGTACGGCGTCGTCGTAGCCGGGCAGTGCCGTCACACTTTCTCCAACCAGGCCATAGACTTTCGCAAGCAGTGCGCTGGCTTCCTCCACGCTCACCTCTGGCTTCCAACTCATCTCGCTGATTTTTTATAAAGCACTTTCTCAGCCATATATCTTTTATTTCTTTCTTGCTGTTCATTATTCTAGACAAAGACAAGATGAGAAGGGGCGCTGGTGCGGCTTCTGCAACGGCTGCGTCTGTTCGCAGATCGATGGGGCGGGTGCCAGCCTCATCGTTCTTGCTGACGCAGCAGAGGACATGTGCGCAGAAATCAGGCAGCATGCGGACCCCGGCCGCATGTTTCTCCCGATCAGTCCGAGTTCGGCCTCCCAGCCTGGCTGGAGAGCGACCCTTTCTCCGGCGCTTCGCCTCTGCCTCCGTTGTGACCCACCGCGCCGGTACACTGCATACCTTTGTAACAATTAATGATCAATAAAGTAAAAGTTAAATCAGATCAACTAAGCATGAAACAACCGTGCAGTGCCGGCCGAAGCACGCCCAGGAAAGGCCCCGTCGTCGCTGCCGCCGTTCATGCAGCGGCGTTTGGAGCTGTGGCGCGAGGAGTGGGAACGACAGCAGACCGGCAAGGAAGCGCAGGCCGCTGCGGGAGAAGGACCCCACCCGATCAAGATCACCCTACCCGATGGCCGGATCATCGATACCTCCTCGTCCACCACCCCACTTCAAGTCGCTGCCAGTACGCACAGAGAAACCTGTGTGACATGTTTCGTGGTGTTGAACGTGTGGTCGACCTGGCATACTCTGACCCTCGGCCAGGCATATCCGAGGGGTTGGCTCGCGAGGTGGTCGTAGCGCGCGTGAACGGCGAGTTGTGGGACGCGTCCCGACCGCTCGAGCAGGACTGTCACCTGGAGCTGCTCAAGGTAGCCGTCATGCCTTTGATGGTGGTGATCGACTTACCTTACCTGCTTGTGGGCTCACCTCCTCATCTGTGCCATCGCCCAGTTCGATTCCCCCTGAGGGCGCCGGGGTGTTCTGGCACTCCGCTTCGCACCTCCTGGGTCTTGCGATTGAGCGCGAGTATTCCCCTGCAACTGGGGAACACGCAGAATCGTCGGCCAAGGTCCAGCTCTGCGACGGACCGGCCCTGTCCGATGAAAAGGGCGGCCTGGGTACGTACTTAGTCAACCGCATGTGTGTGTGTGTTGTTTGTGTGTGGCAACGGTTGACATTTACACCTCCACTCGCGCCCGACCGTAGGTGGTTTCTTCTACGAGTTCTTCCTTCAACCGGGCGAGGGAGCGACAGGTGCCTCCACGGAGGACTTTGCCGAGCTCGAGAAGAGGGTGGAGGCCTTTGCCAAGGAGAAGAGACAGTTTGAGCGGATGACCGTGTCGCGCGACTTTGCCCTACAGATGTTTGCCTACAACGACTTTAAGCGGTACTCAGCCGGCCCCAGTTTCCTCCACGTAGCCATGTCGTGGTCACACATCCGCTGGCTGACTGCAGAGGTGCGCTCGTCTAGGGAGATCATCGAGGCCATCCCGGCGGGCGAGGAGCTGACGCTCTACAAGTGTGGAGAGTTCATCGACTTGTGCCGAGGACCCCACATCCCGCACACGGTAATCTCCCTCACTCTATAATGCGCAACGCAGTCGAGGGAAGCTGAGTCGGGTGTACACTTCGATCGCCATCTCCCTCACCGCCCCTCTTTGGCGACAAACCACGACAGGGCCTGGTGAAAGGGTTCAAGCTGGTGAAGGTGTCCGGTGCGTATTGGAAGGGCGATTCGACGCGCCCACTTCTACAGAGAGTGTACGGCATCGCCTTCCCGAAGAAAGAGCTTCTCAAGGAATGGTTGACGCTCCAGGCAAGTCCATCACCTCCTCCCTCACTCTCCATCTTTGCTGTGCCGCCAGCCAACTAAAAAGCCCTGTACTGCTTTTTGCAGGAGGAGGCGGCGAAGAGGGACCACCGGCTGATCGGCAAGAAACAGGGCCTGTTTATGTTCCACCAGTGGAGCCCCGGCAACGCCTTCTTCCTGCCGCCCGGCGCCAAGATTTACAACAAGTACGCGCGCACACGTGGGGCATCTGCTGCCGTGGAGCACTAACGCATCTCCCAGGTTGATGAACTTTGTTCGCGACGAGTACCGGGTGCGGGGCTATCAGGAGGTCATCACGCCGCTGGTGTTCAACAAAGAGCTCTGGGAGACTTCGGGCCACTGGCAAAACTACAAGGACGACATGTTCGCCGTCACGGGCGCGTCCCACGCTCACGGGCACGATCACGGACACGCGAGGGAGGGCCACTCCTGCGCTCACCATCACCACTCCCCGTCGGCTGGCAAGGAGGAGGTACGCTCAATTCCGGAAAGCGCAGGACGCGAGAGAGTCTTCGTCGTGCTAATGCACGCTCACCCCATTCTCTTCTCTCGCGCAGGTGATGGGCCTCAAACCGATGAACTGCCCGGCGCACTGTCTCATCTTCTCCGGCGGACACTACTCCTACAGAGACCTTCCGCTGCGGCTTGCTGATTTTGGCGTACTTCACCGCAACGAGCTCTCCGGAGCCCTCACAGGTGCGCGATCAACCGCTTCGTCTCGTCTCGTCTTTGCGTTGGTTTCTTGTGTGAGTCCACGACCAACCCTTCACCTTTTTCTTGATTAGGCCTCACTCGTGTTCGGCGGTTCCAGCAAGATGATGCCCACATCTTCTGTGCCGAGGACCAGATCGAAAGCGAAATCGGTGGCTGCCTCGACTTTTTGAGAAAGGTCCGACTCCCTCTCTTCCCCCTCCCCCACGCGCCCCCATGGCAGCACCCCTCTTGGTCTCACACTGTCGGCTGCTGCGCGACTTCATCAGGTGTACTCCATTTTCGGATTCGAATTCGCTGTTCAGCTGTCGACTCGGCCAGAGAAGTACCTGGGCGAGCTCGCCCTGTGGAACAAGGTGGCCTCCCGGGTCCCTCGGAGCAGAGGGCTTGCCCCTGTCGGCCGAGACCTAACCTTAAAGTCGTTTTTACCACACACACACACACACACACAGGCCGAGGACGCGCTCAAGCAGTCGCTATCGCGGTTCGGCCACTCGTGGCGCATCAACGAGGGCGATGGCGCATTCTATGGCCCCAAGATCGACATCGAAGTCACCGATGCGCTCAAGCGCAAGCACCAGTGCGCCACGATCCAGCTCGACTTCCAGCTTCCCCTCCGTTTCGGGCTCAAGTACCAGGGCCTGGACGATGCCTACCACACGCCGGTCATGATCCACCGGGCCATCTTCGGTTCTGTCGAAAGGTGACAAACCTTGGCCCAGACCCTCATACCCTGCGGCTCGTACTCACGACGTCGTCGCGAACACGGACGTGTGGTGTATGTAGGATGATGGCGATCCTGCTGGAGCACACCTCGGGCAAGTGGCCCTTCTGGCTCTCTCCGCGGCAAAGCGTCATCCTGCCAGTCACTGACGATCACTACGACTACGCCAAGCAGGTCCACGCTCAGCTGCAGAAGCAGCGGTACGCCCAGCACTACCACTCCTTGCACAAGACTAGTCTAGACCGACCCTTTGAGTACTCTATCGTGGTTGCTGATGATGGCTCGGACCGGCCGGTGTGATGGCAGGGAGGACAAGTTCAACGAGTTCTTCGTGGACCTGGACGGCCGGACGAAGCTGACGCTGCCCAAGCGGATCAAGGAGGCACAGGAGAAGCAGTACAACTACATCCTGGTCGTGGGCGAGCGCGAGCGTACCGAGGGCACTGTCAGCGTGCGCACCCGCGACGGTGTAATCCACGGCGCCAAGACCACGGCCGACCTTCTCACCGAGTGGCGACAACTCCTCGACGCGTTCCAGTAGTTGCGCATTTTATCTTCATTCCTCAAATTCCGAAACTTCAATGCGGGAATTGACCGTGTACGCCCGAGAATGTAAGAAGCGCGAACCGGCCGTCGTGAAAGACCGCAGGAGAAAGCCGGTGGGGAGACAGGAAGTTGGCTGTTGGTTTGTGGTCCTGGTTGTTTGTGTTTGCCGCCCGCCGAGAGAACAGCACCGATCGAGAGAACAGACACAGAATGGAGGACCCGACCAAGCGACGAGGAGGCTATGAAGCCCTGGAACCGCCGCAGGCCGAGGGCGGCGGCAAGCGCCATCTCTTCAATGCCCTCATCCTCAGCGTCTCATTCTTCCTCATTTTCTTTGCCTTCTCGTACCTCCCCCCCCATCTCTCCTTCTGATTTTGTTGTCACATAATGTGACAAAAATAGAGGTTTTAAAAGTGATTAGTGAGGGGCCAGCCCGCCGGGTATTCCCGCGTACGTGGAGCGTTGGTCATGGGAGGTTCGCGCTAACACTCGCCCACCTCCCCGCTACGCAGGACCACCCAGAACCTGGAGTCGAGCTTGGTCCCCGGCAAAATGGGGTACGCACGGCCTTGCTCTCCTGCCGACGTCGTTCCACTCCCGACACTGCTCTGATCGGGGCTCTCCTTATGATCACCTCCTCCTCCTCCTCCAGGTTCTGGTCGCTTGCGGCGCTCTACGCCTCGTTTTGCATTTCGTCCCTGTTCATCGCCTCGCCCGTACGTCGCTCGCGCTTTTCAAGCAAACATCACGGCCAAGTCTGACTCCGTTGTTGTGTCGTGGGTGTGCGTGTTGCGTGATACGCCCGCACGTGTGTGTCGTGTGTGTGTGTCGTGTGTGTGTCGTGTCGTGTGTGTGTGTGTGTGTCGTGTCGTGTCCCCGCCTACTCTGAAGATCGCCAATCTGCTTCCGCCTCGTTTCGCTCTCTTGGTGGGCGGCGCGGCCTACATCCCTCTCACCGCCGCCAACCTCTACCCTGCCTGGGGTATAGCCCCATTGTTCGTGCGAATTGGGGGTGTTGGCTCACACTGACACACGCGCCCGTCGTACTCCTCCTCCTCCACCGCTCTTGCGCCCAGGCACGTTGATTCCTGCTGCGGTCGTGCTCGGTTGCGGCGCTGGCGTCCTCTGGACTGCTCAGGGTACGTCTCCCACCACCCACCACCACCCACCACCATCACTGCACTCACGCACGCTCGCGATGGAAATAACGCCCTCTCGTCTGCACAGGATCCTACCTGACCGCGGCTGCGTCGAACTATGCTCGCTCGCAAAACAAGGAATCCAAGTCGGCCATGGGCCTCTTCACGGGCATCTTCTTCTGCATCTTCCAGGTCGGCCACTCTATTTGGTCTTTGCCGCGTCGCGCTTGTGGTGGGGTGGTCATCTGCTTCTCACCCGCGTGGCGTCCTTGGCGTTGGCGTTGGCTTCTTCCCTCCACAGTTGACCCAAGTGGTGGGCAACCTGGTGGCCGGTTGCATCTTCATGTACGGCGGCAGTAACCAGGACCAAGCTCGGTAATTCGCACCCCACTCCTTGCCCAGAAGCCTTTGATTCTATTTCACACCCCCACCCACTCACTCATGACTGACACACGACACACGACACACGACACACGACACACGACACACGACACACGACACACGACACACGACACACGACACACGACACACGACACACGACACACGACACACAATGCGAACGCTGGTGTTGTGAAACGCAGGGATATTCTGTTCTACATCTTCCTGGGCGTGGCGGTCGTCGGCGTGCTGCTGTTCCTCACGCTGGGCAAGGAGGTGACGGAGAAGGAGCGGAAGGGGACCGACGCCAGCGATCGCCTCCTCGTCGAGAGGCAGGGCGGTACGCTCCAATCCCCCCTCCTCAGTGTGGGCCTTTCTCTGCTCGCTGTGGCTGAGGTCTTACGGCGCTGCGCACAGTGAACTCGGAGCTGGTTGGCACCCGCCCGGGCATTGCCTCGAGAGTGTTCGGCAATGCCGGCGACGTGCTGCGGCTGCTGATGGATCCCCGTATGCTCCTCATGGTACGATTCGACACGCAAGACCACACGCACACGCACACGCACACGCACACGCACACGCACACGCACACGCACACGCACACGCACACGCACACGCACACGCACACGCACGTCTTAGCAATCAGTGACGCCCGTTGTGTACCACCTGCAGGTGCCGGTGTGCATTTACTCGGGCATGGAGCAAAGCTTCGTGCCGGGCGACTTCAACAGCGACATCGTCAAGCAGGCCAAGGGCCTCGAGTGGATCGGTACCTGCCCTGGCGCACTCGCCCACTGCTTTTCACACACACACACACACACACACACACACGACACGTCTGACTGTCGTTCGCGCGCGCAGGTTTCGTGATGGCGGTCTACGGTGCCTTTGACGCGGCGGCCAGCGTGCTGCTGGGCCGCATGGCGGACGTGGTGGGCAAGCGGCTGTACCTGATCGTGGGGTTCATCGCGCACGGCTCCTTCATCGCGTTCTACCTGACCTTCCTCAACATCTCCGACATCAAGACCCTGCACGACGACTTCTGGATCCTGTTCCTCAGCGCGGCCGTGCTGGGCGTCGCCGACGCCTGCTGGAACACCTTCCCGCCCCTCATGATGTCCGTCTTCTTCTCCGACAACACCGGTACCGTGTGACTCACACACACACACACACCACACACCTCTGTGTGCTAACTCGACGCGCGCGCGGGGTGGTGCACAGAGCCGGCGTTTGGCAACCTCAAGTTCTGGCAGAGCATCGGCGCGATCTGTCCGTTCGTGTGGGGACCCCTCATTTCGTTCCAGGTCAAGCTCATCATCGTGGGCAGCACCCTCTGCCTCGCCACCATCTCCGTCCTCATCCTCGACCTCAAGGTTCGGCTCGCCCCCCCCCAAACATTTCTCCCTTTTTCTCGAAGTGGTGGTGTACTGTTGCGTGTGCGCTGACGACTGAATAAATATTACATTACATTTCTAGGTGGCCTCTATTTCGGACACCAGCGAAACCGGCAGCGCCGGCAAGAAGTTGGAAGAGGAGGACGAGGGCCACTACGACTGATCGATCGCATCGCATACTCGTCCTCCCTCTTTCCTTTACGTTCCACCTCGCGAAAAGTATATATCATCTTTCTGTCGCTATCGTCGTCAGCCTGGCGTGGTGGTACCTCGTCCGGTGTGTGTGGTGCTCCACCACCACTATTGACAAGCGTTATGTCGGGGCTAGAAGGAGAGGGCGATCATGGCGATGGCGCACACGCTCACGCCGATGGCGACGACGAGCGTGAGGTAGTTGCGTCGGCCCTGGATCTCGTGGAAGACGAAGACCGACCACAGCGACGCCACCACGCCCGGACCCACGGTCGTGATGGGCATGGTGATCACCATCCCCAGGCCCGTCGTCGCCACAAAGAAGCACAATTGAGCTGCACCCCGCAATGGTAACCTCTTCATCGTCAGACTGCGTTGCGCGTTGCGTTGCGTTGCGTTGCGTTGGCGTACCGAGTGCCCACATCACGCCGGAGAGGATGGCGGGAAGGGTGACCTGCGGGTACACCTGCGGGTGGTTGCGGGTCAGCACGCCGTAGACCACGAAGTAGGCCGTGCTCGTCAGCAGAATCCCGCATATGTGCGAGTAGAGCTGCACCCACGCCACAACGTGTACCGCACGAGCGCGCCTTGCAGCGTCAGCGACGAACCAGTCGTGTGGTGGCGGCAAGAGGTACGTAGTAGATGGCCTGCCGTGGGCCGTCGGGGCGGTTGTCGATGAGCCACTGCGTGGGGTTGAACGCCACACCGTACAGGGCTCCGGCCGCCAGCGCCATCACCACGCCCTGCGTTCAGTAGTGTGAGCCCCGCCAGGGTGGGAGATGAAGAGCATTGAAGCGGGCAAAGTGGAAGTGTACGAGGATGCGCTTCTGGGCGGAGGGCATGGTGTCGAGGTGGAAGAGGGTGACGGGCAGGCAGTGCTTACGGGTGGCGTCGGCGCTGCGCAGCGAGAGCGCGTCAAGGTGGAAGTAGTGCATCATCACGTGTCGCAAGTCCTCGTGGTCCTCCATGTGCACGAAGTGGAGGAACCGCCGGCGCAGGGACATCGGCCGCCTACCGCCGCCACCGTCACCACCAGCCGCGACTTCCTTGGCCTTGCTCTGGTACATCACATCTCCCGGCTCCGTCTCTTCGTGCAGCATGAGGCCGAAGCTGGCCATCTCGCTCTCCTCGCGCCGGTGGCTGCGCAGGTGCTGGGACTCGGCGGGTGACTTTGGCAGCCCAGACGGCAGACGTCCGAGAAGGGCCTTGCTCGGCAACAGCGGCCTGGCCTCCTCCGGGTCCTGCTGCCTTTCGCTGTCTGCCGGGTGTGGTGGGCCACCCTGGGCGGCTCCTTCATCGGTGGGCTTGATCATCACGAAGCACACGCCTGCCGGGCCGCACCACGCCGTCAGCTCTGAAGCGGATGGACATGGGAGGTTCAAAGCAAAGGTAGGGTACCACTCAGCACGGCGGTGGCGACTCCGATGTAGTTGAGCCCGGGCCACGACACGGTCTGTTGGTGCAGCCCGAACAGGCCAAACGCGCCCGACGCCCAGCCCATCACCTGACAACTCACGAACGAGCCACACCGACTCCACGCCGTCAACGCAAAGTCCTCGGCTCGGGTGGCGGTGGTGCCTGCACGTACCAGACACGCAGTGCCCCACAGGAGGATGCCCTGGCCCAGGCCGATGAGTCGCACGATGGGCACCGTCATGAGGTTGCCTGTGGTTGACTGAAATGGTCAGCGTGCGGGGCAGGACGAGGAAGAGGTGCAATGCGGAGGGCAGGGCAGGCACCGGTGGCCCAGACCACACCGCCGAGCATGGCGATGGGCTGGAAGGGTGGCGAGTCGAGGACCAGGTTGGCGATGAGGCCCACTAGCCAAATGCCCAGGGCCATGATCCACTGGTAGTAGAACCCGTCCCCCACCGGAAACTCCTTGGTCGGCACGAACGTGCTGCCCCACAACACCGCACTCGCTCCCACACATCCAAACTCGACCCACATTCCCCTGTTGCCTTCTCTTCTTCTCCGTCTTCACGACTTCCGCTTGCTGGCCTCGGTGAGCAACTTGTAGAGGAAAAGTCACTGAAAACTTGTTGAGGTTTCACCCAACAACGTGCAAATAGGCTTGGCTTACGTTGTGATGCACAGAGTGTGAAGCTTTATGAGTTGGGTGGTGTGAGGGGTGGTGGAAGGTGGAGCGTGGCAGCTGTTATGGCGTTGGCTCGGCGGAGCTCCTGGCGCTTCTCTCGGTGGGCCGGGTCCTCCTCCTTGTTGAGGGCCACGCAGGCACCGGTGCCGTTGAGCGCCACCGTGAAGGCGATCTCGGCGTGAGGCGGCAGCCGGGTGTAGTTCCACGTGTAGCACCACTGCCCGTTCAGGAACAGGTATAGCACCAGCTTGAGTCCTTTCCGCGGCCGCTCGGTCATTGCTTGAGCCGACTCCGACTCCGACGCGTCGGACGACATCGAAGCCTGCTGCTTCTGCTGCTCCGTCGCTGCCAGCTGCATCAACACTTCGATCGGCGTGCGCTGGCGTCGTATTCGCACACTCCCACCATCCTCACCATCACCGGCACCTTCGCCGTCGCCGCCGTCGCCAAAATCCCTCTCGCCACTATCGTCCCCATCGGCGTTCACCTCCGCCTTCTCTGCACTCACTTCGGCCTCATCGTCGCCGCTGTGATGCTTTTCGTTTCCCGCTTCCGTGTCGATGGTCATCGCCGACGATACCCCGTCGGCGCCGTTGCTCTCCCCTCCTTCTCTTCCCGTCCCGGCGGCGGACGAGGACGTGCGGGATTGTAGCGTGACGCCGGTGTGCGAGGACGGCTCGCCGTCGGCTGGTCGCTTCGTCTTGTCTTCGTACTGCACCAGCAGCCCCACGCTGTCGCCCGTCCCATACATCGGCACCTGCAACACCCCACACGCGAGCCTTGTGAGCCGATGCGGGTGGGCCTGGGGAGCAATGACCAACAGAGAGCACGCGCGGGCGCCCTTCAAGAGGCCAACCTTGGACACCTCCGAGTTGGAGTTGTGGAGGATGAGCCCGTTGCTGTGGAACGCGTAGTTGTAGCAGTTCTGCCCAAAGCCCACCAGATTGCCGGTGTACTGGAAGAAGAAGAAGAAAGAGGAGGAAGAGGAGGAAGGTGGCGCGTCAGACACGACATACAGCGGTGTGGCGCTCCCCCACGCAAACGGAGGAGGTGCATATGCGTACCTCCCAGTCGCGGTCGGTGATGCCGATGGACATGTGGGTGTACTTCTTCTCGACGACGAGTATCTGGTAGTAGTGGAACGGCTGCCACGCCGATGGCACCATGCGCTGCCGACACTTCACCGTCACGTTCGAGTAGTCCTGCGCCGTCTACGCTCGCCCACAACGCCGACACAGCTGTGAGCAGCAGCAGCAGCAGCAGCAGCAGCAGCAGAAGCCCGACAAGAGACGAGGCAAGCCCGGGGCTGTACCGCGACCGTGTCGTCCTCGGTGAGCGAAATGTGCTCGGATTTGTCCGTTGGCGAAAACTGTGGGCTTGGGTGAGTCGCCACGTGGTGGAAGAGAGAGAACAGAGGGGAGAGGAGAGAGGAGAGGGGAGAGGGGAGAGAAGGTGGTGGAGGCGGCGTGTGTGCCTGGTGCTGGTGGTAGAGGACGGAGTAGATCTCGCGCCAGGGCACGGAGCGCTTCTTGGATTTGTAGTAGGCCACCATGTGCTCCATCGCGCTCCTCCGCCCGCGCTTCTTGCACCGGATCTTCCACAGCCTTCGGTTCAAGAGTGCCAAGGGAGACCCGGTTAGCCATCGACACACACACACACGCACCACACACGCACACACGCACACGCACACGCACACGCACACCATGAGGGATAATGGAGAGGACAGTACTGCTGGTCGAGGGCAATCCGCATCCATGTGGTGTTGACGCGTGCGGCACGGTGGAGGTCGGCCACAGGCAGGAAGGAGAACACCAGCAGCACTATTTCCTCCCCAAACAGCTCCGTGAAGTCGCACATCACTTCTTGGCGCGAGGTCTGCTCGGTGCACGCAACCAAACCAGGTGCCCAACGTCAGCCACGTGTGCAGTGCGGGGGGGGGGTCGAAAGAGGCTGCCCGCTGTTCGTCGCCATCAGGAGATGAATCACGGTAATCTAGCGTATATTGTGCCAGATTTAACGCACCGTGATACAAGGGCACAAAAACAGTCAAGTGATCCAGAATCTCTCCTTTGCTTCACTGGCCCGAGGTGCTATTTATTGTCCTGTGTCCATTTTTCCTTTTCCTTTTCCTTTTTTTCCTTCTCAGGAAGTAACTACACCACAATGGCCGACGAAGCGGCTTCAGACACGGCGCAGGCATTCTTGCCGAACTCGAGGTATATGTACCCCTTCATGCCTGGAGGAATGTGTGAGTTTGGTTGTGGAAGCCCTCATCAAGCAACAGGGAGGGCGGTGTACCCCAATCCTCGCCCCATGAGTTGCGGATGATCCAATAGGGCGGGTTGGCAGTCGTGTTGTAGCCCACTGCGAGCACACAGTGGTTGATGTTCGTGGGATCACATTCGCTTGCTGGATAGACACCACCTGCATGAAAGAGCAGGTCACAACCAGCCACCGCACACTGCTTCTTTGTGTCTGTCGGTACCAGTGTAGCTTGACCAACTCGGCGGAGCATTCAGACAGACGGATATGGGTCCCAACTTGGCTACGAAGTTGGCCTGTGTGAGGGAGTGTGAGAGAGAGATAGACGCGCATGACCAAGAGCAGCGGAGGTGGTGGTTGGCAAGCACCATCTGGTTCTCGTCTCCATCACCGACATAGGTGTAGCCGTTGATCTTCGCCACAACCTCGCTGGCGTTGTAGCCACACGGGAACATCATCATGCCATCGTAGGGATAGCTAGCCAGCGATTCCAGTCCAGCCGACAGGACATACTAACAACACACACACACCCGCTCCACGTCAGTCTTGCCTTCACACTCAAATGTACACTGATAGGTTTCTTGAGGGCTCGCTCACGTCGAAGGCGAGATAAGGCCATCCACCGGCGCAACTGAAATCGTTAGTGTCGCAGTCGAGGATCTGCTGCATGGAAAGGTTCACAAGCTTGTGTCCGGCGATGGCCCACATGGACTCGATGTTCTCCGTCGCCGAGAACGCCCTGCGCCAGTGATCACAGTTCACGAAGCGGAACGGTGAGCGCGGCCGCGCTTGCTATGCATTTGGTTTGATGTGGAGTGTGGAAGTTCGTACCAGCAGGCTCCGCAGCTCCCCTGGTCGTAGATCTCGGTCAACACCCCCTTGTTGCGCCAGTCAAAAGCCACAGGTGCCGGAGCCTGCGCGCAAGGTGATGAGAAGCAGGGAGCGTTGGAGGTTGGGGGGGGGGCAGTACGTTGAAGTCGATGGAGTTGGGCAGAAACTGAGGCCTCTTCTCAGGCAGGGGCGGCGGGCGCATAAGCACGCGCTGCTCGAACTCACTCGGCGTCATGTCAGCAAACTTGGTCACGCCGTGCAGCACCCCCTAGTGGCCGACACAACACCATGGGGGTCAACAGTCAGCTCAATCCACTCACTCGATTGAAAAGGTTCAGGAGCACGAACCTCGCTGTTGGCATTGAGCTCGGCGATGCGGGCAAGGTTGCGCGAGAAGATGGCCAGCCTGCGGGAGTACTCGTCCCGGTCGTCGCCGTAGGTCTTGCCGAAGCGGGCGACGAAAGAAGCGAACTGCTCTTGAACCGTCTCCTCTTGCCTCAGCGTGGAACCCGATGCCAGGGCAAGGGCCACAGCCAGGAGAAGGCAGCCCAGCAGGCTAATAAGCCGATGCTGCGACGTCATGATGTTCTTTCGTTGTTTTACTCGGTACCTGGGCAGTCAATTCTAAGATGGGTAGCGAGCTGTAAGCCCTAAAAAGGTCAGCACCGCGAGACAAGAAGATGATGATGAAGGTGACGAGGGGAGGACAACTAACTGTCTTCTATTGTTGTAGTGTGGATTGAAATGGGCATAGCAAATTATTTGGATACAAAATGGGTGTTAAGGAGGTGAAGGAGGAGGTTGACGTCGAAGGTGAGGTACTCGGTGATGTAGTCGAGCCTGTTTTCTTGCTGCCGCTCCAGCAGGTCGGCCAGCTCGAGCTCCATGTCCGTGACCTTGACTGCGCGAAACTTGACCACGACCTTGTACACGCCCGGCATCGACGACGAAAAATAGAAAGCGATGTTGCTCCTGCGTAGCGCAGGCGAGAGAGGGAAGGAATTAATTGAGGATCTAGCAAGTGGTGAAGGCTCCGAGACCAGGGGAGGAGCCGTACTTCTTTTCCTTGGGGACGGAGGACTCTTTGATGATGCCATCCTTCTCGAGCTGGCTGTAGGGGAACTTGAACGGACCCGCTTCCTTTCCGCTTTTCACCTTGTCCTTCTTCTTCTTGGTCTTGCCGTTGGATGTCTGCACGCCGCACTTGCTCGTAACGTCCTGGAGGTACTTCTTGTAGGCCTCTGTACGGGTGGCAGCAGCCCAACACGGTGAGGACTCGGGGGGGTAGCGAATACAAAGACGGGGGGGGGGCTTCAAACCGTATTGGTCCTCGAGGAACTTCTGGTGGTTGGTGACGTTCTTCAAAACGCTGTCCAAACGCTCGAGCAGCACTCGCGCCTTCTTGCTCTGTTCCTCGTAGTTGTACAGCTCCTGTGGAGAGAATCAAGCATGAGCCTTTGTGTGTGTCTGTGTGTGTGTGTGTGTGTGTCTGTGTGTGTGTGTGTGTGTGTGCTGTCTCAAGCTCCCGACTCGTACCTGGACGGCATCCCTCCTCAGCTGCGCGTAGTTGTCGCTCTCCTTAAGGTATCCGACCTTGACCAGATCCTGGCAGTTCTTCTGAATCCTCTTGATCTTCTCTAGGAGGTGCTGTGGCGACGAGGTTACATATAGCGAGCTTGCAACATCCGCGAAAAGCGTGATGCGCGGAGTACCTTGTCACTGTGCTCTTTCGCCCACTTCCAGGCCGCGTTGAGGGTGGCCTCGACCGTCGCACATTCGTTGACCTCCTTCTCGGGCAGCGACTTGATGATTGTGAACAACAGGAACTTGGTCTCGGCGTACATCTGCTCCGGCGTCAGCTTCCCGTTGATCTGGACATCTGTGGAGGGTAACACAGACATTGGGATCAGCCCGTGTCTGGTGGAGAACAACGTTGTTGGGGGGGGGGCAAAGCCACGCACCCTCCTCCCTGAAACTATCGGAGAGGACGAGGTCGATGTTGGCGTTGTCCTTCTTGGGAAGCTGTGATGGCGCGGGTCCCATCTTGTCCAGGAGTGCCCCCAGGGGATCCCTGTCTTCCACGCACTGTTACACGCAGATGCGCGACGTTAACCGCGGTGCTCGATTCAACGAAGAGCGAAAGGGAAGAAAAAGAACGCGATAAAGAGAGAATGAGACGCGTACCAGGCTGTTCTTGTGCAGGTGAAGCATCTCGTGGATAAAATACATTTCGTTGAAGGAGATATTGATCATATTCTCGTTGGTTCGCTCCAGGGCGAGGTACTTGTCCAACTGTACACACGAACGAGGATCAGTGATGAACAGATTTTCTCGGCTAAAGGTAAGCACTCGGGCGAGTGCGCGACGGGCGGAAAGAACGTACGTTGAGGTGCTGTTCAAGGTTCTCCACCGCAGTCAGCCCTTCAAGGAACTCGTTGAGCGTCTCCTTATTCTTGTCTATACAAACGTTGAGAGGCTCCATGTAGAATTCCTTTACACCGCCAAACTTGATGTTGTTGGCAAGGTTTTGCAGAATCTTGGCGAGCTGTGTTGTTTTGTGCGACGCAAACACACGAGCCTAGGTGAGTAGGCTTGCCATCAAGGACAGGGCGAGTAGGGGCAGTACCAGTGTAAGGTTCCTTCTCGTGTTGGCAGAGAGTGTGTTTTCTACGAGCATGAACGCCTGGGGCGTGACGATGGCCGGGTTGATGAATCGAAGCAGATAGAACCCGCCAATCAAACCGCACACCTGCTCGCGGGTCGCCTCGGGGAACTTCCTCTGTTACGGGAACGAGACGTTAGTCTCGGAGCGGAACTTGGCGTTGAATGATGAGTGCGTGTTGCGAGAAGGGGCCGCGTATTGTTACCCTGACGAGTTCACGGATTTGCTTGCATATCCAACGGATGCCGTAGGGTACATGGTCGGTGGAAGACAGCAGCGCGCCGATGAACTCGCCGGCGATTTGATCCAGCTTAGCTATACGTGCCTCAAGTTAAGGGGATGATAACACCAACAAAGTTGGTTGGGGTTGAGATTGGAGGGAGTGCATGGCAAGTGGGGGAGTTGGTTGGTTGGTTGGTTGGTAAGGATATGAGGCCTGATGATGTTCTGCACTTCCGGGTTCTCGGCTGCCTCCTCGGCGGTGACCTTACGGTTGAGGGTCGACTTCTGCCCGGTCTTGATTTCGTACTCGTTGATCATCTCAATGTAGACCTGATGATGATGATGATGAACACGAAGGGTTTAGGATGAATGGCATCTCAAAGGAAACAAAGCGCGTGCAGCACCTTTAGCGGGTTGATCTCGAGAATGAGGTTGGACTGCGAGCAAAGATTGGACAGTACTCCCGTGAGCGTGGTCTTGAGGTACTGCTGGCCGGGTCCTCGTCTGCAAGCGTAACCGCCAGGTGTGAGCAGAGGAAACAAGAGAAGAACCGCGACGCTGCGTCTTTCTCAGCGCTCGATCGCGGGGCCTAGTACCTGGTGTAGGTGGTCATCATTCTCGTGAGCGCTGTGTTTGCCCGCAAAAGGGAGCCGATGCCAGTCGCCTCCCTAAACTCTGCGTCGAGCACGGTCTACGTGACGTGACGTGAGAAGTGAGAACGTGTTGAAGATTGAATAGGGGCGAGAGAGTAGGTAAGCGTACTCTGAACATTGAAAGGAGCAAGTGCTCCTCCATTTCGTCATACTGGTTGCCGTAGAGGGTGAACATCACCGTCTGGAGGAGGTTGTCGATTTGACCCAAATTTACGAGCCTGGCCAGCGTAGCGATGTACTTGGTGTCGTTTTGCAGCAGCCAGAACAGCTCACCATACGCCTGTGAAAGAGGAAGAGGATTGGTGATGTGCCACGTTGTCATCTGTGGACGGACGATTGCGTACCTCGCGCTCCTTCTTGTTCTTGATTTGGCCATTTGGCTTGTTCATGAGGGAGAGATCGCCCGAGTTGGCCATGATTTCCTGGAGAGGAAAGATGGAGATCAGCTTTCTGGAGGGGGGCGGATTGGAATGCGCAGTGGAACGTACTTCCACGCTGATTCTGTTCCGGATGAGAAGAGAGATCTTCTTATCGAGGTTGCGAATGTCCCTCTCGAGCGTGAAATTGCGTTTGCTCTGCAGCGCGATGTCACGCTTGAGCTCGTACAGCGACTTTTGAACTACATTGGATCAAGAATGAGAAGGAGAAGGGAGGAGCTCTTGCTGGCAATCAAAGATCCAAAAAAAATGTCACAAGTTAATTGGGAAGCGAGAGAGAGGGGGTGGGTACGAGAAGCGAGTTCATCTCCCTTCTCCTGGTCTTGACCCTTGATGATTTTGATGATGCTGTGTACACTGTAGGTTCTCGTTTGTCGCGAAGGGTTCAGCCGATCATAAAAGTAACCCTCCTGAGGTGGATCCATCTGCAAAGATTGGGCTTTCAATCGATGGCTGTTGCCTGGCCAGCACACACAAAGAGCCGTGGAGCCTTTTTTTTCCGCCCAATCCCAAAATGGTTTCATTTCTCTTGCGCAAACTCAGACAAAACGGAAACGTGTGCA